TGGACTTGTTAACTTAACCGTTTTGGCTACTGTGTTTAATTATTCAAATGAAACTCAACCGATGCTGTTGTCGTTGTTGTTGTCGTTTGCAGCGTTTGTTTGTTTGCTCCGCTCGCATGTTTGCTTTGCATTTGTTTGTCTGTTTGGCTGTTTGCTCTTGGCCTTTGTTTGCCTTGGCCGGTCTGCATCAGCAGCTGCGACAGCGACGGCAAAAGTTGAAGTTCATGTTTCCTTAGTGGCTCACGGCTAAAAAGTACGCACAAACAAATCACAGAAAAACAATATGCCAAATAAATATTATTTAAATGCTGGAGTATGCTTTTGCTGAATGGGAGCAAAGAAAATAAATTATAAATTTACATAAACTCAAATTTGTTAACAAATAAACGTTTTTAAGTACTTGAATATACTCTTAATAAGCCCCAGAAAGAATAAACAAAAATATTATATTATTATAAAATGTTTTCTGTAGCCACATATTTAAAATATGAAATGTTGTATTTTAAATCATTAAACAAATATTATCAAATAGTCAATTATTTATATGTAAAATAAAAGTTATCTAAGAAGTATCAATGGCGTTGCGTTTCTACAAAACTCCTTGGTAATCTCGGATGTTTTGAAGCCTTGGCCATAAAACCACTTTAAACCACCATCAAGACCTTGTCTGGCTTAGGGTTTAAACAACAAAATCGAAGGTTTTCTGCTTACTGTTAATTGCCATTAATTTTATATTATTATTTGTTGTATATTTCTGCACAAACGTGGCTTTGGCTTAAGCCTCAAAAATGTGACTCACAAATCGTGGAATGAGAGGAGTGAATTGGGTGTGGTTAAATTAACTGAAATGGTTTGTGCCCGAGCAATTGCAAAACAAATAAAAAACCGCCAGCGAAAACTCATGTGCGAATAATGCGAAGTGTAAATTGAGCATTTAAATGAAACGAAACCGCAACGAATCCGTGTGGGTATATATCTTGTATATATTTACTATATATGTACGTATGAACACTTCTTCAATGAAGTATGCGCTGTGAATATTTAATTGCATAATGTGACCAGACTGACACACTATGCGTTAATAATCATCAACAAATTAACTATCATCATCATTAATGTTACCATTAACTTCAGTGATGTCAGTTAGGAGTTTTTCTCGCCAAGTGAGCTTTTCTTATTTCGTCATTAACAGTTAAAAGTGATTTGGGTTAATGAATGCACTATAATTCTCAACTGGTAAAAACAACACGCTTCAATAGCTTTAAAAGTTTAAAAAAATTACTGATGTTGGATTGCTTTAAGGTGTTTCAAACCTCGTGTTAATAATGTAAACAAACCTGTGTCTCTCTGCAAAATTATCAAATTTCGCACATTAACTTTCTTTAGTTGTAAGCTATACGGTTTTATTTCGCTTTATAAAAAAAAACAGCACTGTTTCACACCATCATCATTATCTTGACTAATGACTAATGGGCCATGGTAGCAGTCCGAGCATCATGTAATGGCCAGAAAGAAAAGAAAACGCCAGTAACAAACGCACAACTTGAAAAAGCGAAATGAAGAAAGGAAAACAAGAAGCTCAACAATAACCACAACAAAAAAAAATGTATTCAATTATGCAAGCCAGTTACAGTTAGGCGCCCACCAAAAAGTGGTAATATACGGAGCTTCCAGGGGGGAATGGGGGGTCTTAGCTGTTTTTGGAGCTACTGGCCAACATTTCATTTCGATTTCGAAGCGAAAGCGCAACGCAAATTGCAATTGAATTTATTTTTTACTTTAGTTTCTGGCGAAAAACGTGTTGTGAAAAGTGTTGCAAGTAAACCGACTGGGGTGGATAAATAATAAATAATTGATTGTTTGACTGATTGATTGAGTGAGTGACGACAGTAATTGGCAAACTCCATTCCATATGCATGGATGGTGTGAGAGGACAGGTGAATTGCACTAAGTGCTCTCCTTTTAACTCAGGTAAAAAGAAATAGCTGTTAAATCAAACAGGTTGACAATGCTTTTTACTATATCTGAAGTGAGCAGAGGGGCTTAAACTGTCACAGAGTAAAGTTTGCATGGATTGCTGGTTTTTCGCACGTTCCACTGGTTTATGCGTCCTTGAGATTCGCGTTTAGCCTGAGAATAGTTTAATGCAAAACTGGTGACTGTCAATAACGCATAAATAAAATGGTGAGAATATTGCAAATATGAATTAAAATTTTCCCTGGGCAAGTTTTTTTATGTTTTTTTTTAACCCCAAGGTAATTTAAAAATAATTAATATATTTTATTTTTGTATCAAACTTAGACTCATTAAGTTGTTTTTTATTTAAACATTTTTAAGAAGCATGATCACAACAATTATGTTTTCTTTTATTGTTCCACTATGTAGTTTAATTTAAATTGATTTCAAGGAGGATCGGAAATGGGGAGTTTGAATAGTTTTTCTTAGCGAATCCTCATAACAAAAAAATGGTATAAAATTGAGCAAAAGTAAATGGAGAACATTATAAAGCTTTGTTCACTAGCACGCATAAACTTGGTATGAATAACATTTTTTATTTGCCGGCCAAAAGGCATCAATCAAGCCAACAACAAGTTGAGGAACTTTATTTTTATCCGCTTTTCGACGCCATTTTGTTGAACGCCATTTTGACACGATTTGTCTGTGTGTGTGTGTGTGCTTGAATTATACTTTTTTCTTTCTTGTGTTAAAACGCTTTTAGTTTGATGGTCAACTTGCTCTTGTTTTTTTATGAACTTTCTGTGCAGCCATTTGAACACATTTGAACAGTCACGCCTCCCGTAAAAAAAACCCTGCAATTTGATGGAATTGAATTGCTGCCAAATGAAATTACAGAAGTTTGTACAACCGCCTCGGAGAAATTGATAGTTTAGGCTCAAATTGAGGATAACCATGGGTTTCGTTGATTTCCATTTCTCTAATTGAGCGTTAAAATTGAGTGAAGCAAGTGCCAATAAAAAGTAATAACTGTAATAAAAATGAGTTTTGGGCTCGAAACTTTTAATAGGTATTTCTTGGGAAGAAATGTTATAAGCAATAATCATTATTTAGTATTTTGTTGAAACAAACATTTCTATTTGTATTAACTTTTTTACTCCTGTTTGTTTCCAGGGAATACAAATTTTTAACAAATTTATTTATTTAATATTTAGTTTAAGATATACAATTGAATTGAATTTTTAAATTGTAATTTCGGAAATCAATGTATCCCAGCAGACAAAGTGACTTCAAATATTTTCATATTTTGTAGACCTTTCTTGCCTAAATGCTATTTAAATTAGTAACATTTATTTAAATGTGGATTTTTAAGTTGAACTACATTTCATGAAGTGCATAAGTATCCCATTTTAATGCAAAGCAATCCCGGCATGCAGTCTAGATTTAAGTCACGTCCCCACCGACGGCGACTGCATTTCCGTCATTTCAATCCTTTAATGTGCACCAGTCCCTCTGGCAGCCCACCTGCCCCCTTTCCCCTCGTCCTTTGCCGTCTGCCGCCCGTCGGGATGTGCAGCAGCATCTGTGTCCTTTTGCTAGCCAAATCTCTTATTTGTATACCCTTGCAGAGGGTATATAAAATTCCAAAATTCTACGTTAAGTATTACAGATCGGCCTACTATATAAAATAGCTGGCATAGGGACAATCGGTAAAAGGGAAAACAAAATTATTCCTTCGTTGTTTCTTAACATATACCCATAACTCCAATATCATTTTTAACCCTTTCAGAATTACGGTTTTACTTTTATACAAATCGTATGACTATATCATATAGCTGCCATAGGAACGATAGAAAAATGTATCGTCAAATCGACATAGCTTAATTGTTTGTAGGCAACAAAATCGTAATATAGAATAGTCAATTTATGTAACAGTTGCAAGGGTATATAAATGTCGGCTTGCCGAAGATTGCTTTTTTTCTTGTTTTTTTTCCTGCCTCATTTTCGCGGCAGTTTTGAGGGGGGTCGAGTCCTGCGAGGAGTTAAATAAAAGGGAGTGGGCGCGGGCAGAGCTCATTGTTTGCGGTGTTAATATTTGGCGTCTGGCACCAGTAGACAGCAGCAGGAGCAGCAACAGCAGCTACACAGAAAAAAAAGATTAAAATTTGTAACTTTCCTGAAACATAAATAATTACCAGTGGTAAAAATAAAACAAGTGAGCTTTTGCACATTTTTACTGTAACATATTTTGCCTGACTTTATGTGTATAAACGTCTTAATAGACAAATAAGTAATAATTAATACTATACTGAAGTGGGTTGGTTTAAAATGTTTGTTTAGGATTTTTAGTAGTATAGATTTTCTATTAGTTTTTCGTATCAAAATATATATTACTGATTTTAATTGCCCAAAGATGATTTACAAAAAAATAAAATGTTCTTCATTTTTTCTTGTGTAAATGGGCTGTGCAACAAAAACAACAAACATCGTAACCGTCAACACCCGCTCATTTTGACTCTATCTGTAAATGTATCTGCATCTGCATCGGTAGCTTCATCTCTATCTGCATCATCATCATTTGCCATTTAATTGTCACTCGCGTTACTTTTTGTTTGTTTCGCTGTTGTCCTTGTTGTTCTTGCTGCAGGTATTGTTGCTGTAATGTCATTGCACTTTTTGTGATAACTGAAAATGACGGAGGATGAACTTTAAATGGAGAAAAGTAATAACGAAGTAAACAAAAGGGATAATGGAAAAATTATAAAATATAATTAAACTAATAAATTAAAAGGAAATCATTGAAAGCTTTACACTGCAAGCTTAGATAAGAAAATTTCAAAAACATTACTATATTAATATAATATATTTAAAGATGCTAAATAAAATTAAAAATTACATGTAGAAAACTGTTAAATGATCAAACTGCAAAGTACGGAGCTATTTTGGATAAAGATATTTTAAATCGCTTAAGGTTGAAATAGGTCCACTACATATTTCACAGAGCACTTTTTAATTTTCCTTACCTATTTGTACTTTCCTTACAGGACGTTCGATGTGCAGATTTAGCCATAAGTATACCCAATAATCCCGGCCTGGACGATGGGGCCTCATATCGGTTGGACTATAGTCCTCCCTTCGGTTATCCGGAACCCAACACAACGATTGCCTCCAGGGAAATCGGGGATGAGATCCAATTCTCACGCGCCCTGCCCGGTACCAAATACAACTTCTGGCTTTACTACACGAACTTCACGCATCATGATTGGCTCACCTGGACGGTGACGATAACAACAGGTGAGTGGCAATCGGATTGTATTCTATAAAATAGTGTTTTCAATAAAGTTAAATCGAGAAAACACAATTATATTTTGGTATTTTTATGATAATGTTATTAATGATTAAAATCAGAAATCAAGTGGATTTATTTTTCGGATTTGGGACGAAATGTTTGTCCTTAGGGAGTCTTCATCATTTTTTTTTCGAACATTTTTTAAACTAAATTATTTTTCTGAGGATACAACTTGATTGGAAATTTTAAACCAAATTCAACGACGTATGACATTCCAACATTCGACCACTATTTCCCAGGGTTTTAATTAAAAAACCGAAAAATCGAGCTGAGTTTTTCCGGATCTCAGCCTTAACAGGCAAATATTTTGAAAGCGTCCACATGGCGTATGCGTAATTTTTCGAATACTTAATGTCATTTGATTTTTGTATCCAATAAAATTACTGCAGCCTCAACATTTCTATGTAAATCAAATGTAATTTTATTTGTGATATAATTTATATCAAATAAAGTTTGAGCTATGTGAATGAAATGTTATTTCATTCCGAAGATTGGGGCACTATACCATGTGTACATATGTACATATGTATATGTTTTATTTGCTGATCGCTAATCTATACCTATTGCCGTCTCCCTTTCACCCACATGTTCGGCCTGTTTTGGGAAAAAGTGGTTACTATGACTGGTTTTGTTTTGCTTTTGTTTCTGTCTTTATGTTGCTTTTACTGTTTTTTTGTCGATCGCTGTCGATAACTTGAAATTTTTGTACACTTTCTTAAGTTGACCAGCTTTGTTTTTGTTGTGCATAAACGGCGGTAAAGATAAAGAGAGAAAGAGTGTTTTTGCGGAATTTCTTGAAAACGCGTTGGCAATAATATCGTAACTGCATTTTTCTCATTATTGCAAACAGTAAAAACAACAAGTAACACAAACTGTTAACGCTTTTCCTTTCCTTCCTTTCCCTTCTATTCCCCTCGTATAACTTTTCCCCATTTTCCCCAAACGAGACCCTTGGGTAATTTATAGGCATAGACGGCCCTCAACGCCCTCTTCTTGTGTCCCTGTTTTCCCACTCCCACTCCACTTATCATCCCCCTTTCTTTAGTTGGACATTCGCAGGTGTTGGTCGAGTTTTCACCCTCAATACAGTTGGAAAAATTTTATAAAGGCCTAAGATAACAATCTTGTTTTTTTATAGTTAATAATTATGCCTACTTGCATTTGGTTAAGAAGGGAGATGTTTAGAAATTACAAAAAATGTTTGATAGTTATTGAATCAGTACCTTTTGTATTACTAAGAAATTAATATAATTTTTTTTTAATAAAAAAGAGCCCTTCTCTAACTGAAAATAATAACATTTGGTTTAAATTCCTTTAATGCAATGAACATTTAAAAATATTTTTTAATACAAGTTTTTTCAAGTGTAGACGAACAGGGCTAGACACTTTCCACACTCCCACTCCACACTTTCGTCCATGTAGTACTTCCCCCTTATCCGATTTCCTGTTCTTGTTCGTTTGTCTGATTGATTTCGTTACTTAGTGCGATTTGCTGATTAGGCAGCTTACAAACATTTGAGGGGGGGAAATGTGGAATATCGAACTGCAATTAGCAATTTGTGGCACTTGCAACTGGTATTCGGTTTCTTCGATTGTGTATTCCGCTTACTTTTCTCAAACACGCAACAAGAAAAGGCAATTAGATGGAAGCCATTTCGAGGACAAGGCCAAGTATCAGCTTGTAAACTTTAATTTCTAACCATTTTAATTAAGGGTAGTTGCAATGACCTTTGAAAACTTCTGTTATGGGCGTAATCCTCAAAGGCTTACTTATATTACGTACCATTAAATGAAACTTGAAATATATGTATGCTTAGGGACACAAATGTATCTACATTACGTACTTATAACATTAGTTAACAAATAATTTTAAAAATAAACATTTGGGTTTGTTGCATTCTTAACAGGAATTTTCCAAAAATATTTGTATGACTAACGATTTATACTTTGTACTGCCATTTAGTTCTGTTTCATATTTTTTCAAGTGCGTAAATATCATCGAATCTTAATAAATTGATATTTGCAGCTCCCGATCCGCCGTCGAATCTGTCCGTTCAGGTGCGGAGCGGGAAGAACGCCATCATCCTTTGGTCACCGCCCACCCAGGGCAGTTATACGGCCTTCAAGATCAAGGTGCTGGGCTTGTCGGAGGCCTCGAGCAGCTACAACCGCACCTTCCAGGTGAACGACAACACATTCCAGCACAGCGTCAAGGAGCTGACCCCGGGTGCCACCTACCAGGTGCAGGCCTACACCATCTACGACGGCAAGGAGTCGGTGGCCTACACCAGCCGCAACTTCACCACAAGTGAGTCCCTGTCCACCAACAGCCTAACCAAACCAAATCATATCAATTCCAATCCAAACTGTTTGTTGTTCTACTCGGTGATGGTAACTAAAACCTGATTAACTTCTTTGTCTCCCGCTTTCATTGTAACTAAAAAAACAAAACAAAAAATACACACGAAAAAAATATGAATTTTAAATTAACAACACGTCACAAAAAGGTCGAAGGACGCGGCATAAAGAATTGCTGGACATTAAGATTCTAAGAGGTAATATTTAAGCTTGCCTTTCCCCAAAAAATATTCCCCGCCCTCATAACTCATTGCAGTGATTTGCTTTTAAACTTTTAGAGAGTAAGTAACCATACACAGAGAAAAAACTGAAGAGACGATGGTTTTTGGTATATGTCTTAACTATAAATATTCAAATTTAAACATTGTCTCAAGTTAAAGTTAAACATAGCATCAGTAATCGTTTGGTGATAAATTGAATGCACTACTTTTATATTTTAAAGTTTTCTTTCGACGTGCATATTATTTAATATATATGTTTTTTCTCTGTGTACCAAACATAAAACTAACCTCAAGCCAACTCCTTTGCACAGGCTACAGTCCAAAATTGCATTCCAAAATTCATTTTTGATCCGACAATTGCCAACCGCAGTGCACTTTCTCCACCCAAAAATGGAGAAGGCTTTTAACCCCTTTTTCCCACACTTTTCCCACACATTTTCCCCGCTTTTCTCGCAATGTTCCCCCGCTTCAAACAATGTGCATGTCCAGCCACAGCAAAACAACCGAATCACAAATTACAGTGGTCACTTTGTAAGAAAAATGCATGGTGGTACAGCAACTTTAATTTTATATAACCGTATAAGGATTTTACGGCTCTTTTAAAGAAATGTATTTTCCCAGTTGTAAAAGCTAAAAACTTTTTTAATAACTCCAATACAAAATCTTTCACCAACATTTTTATAAGTACCAATAACAAAGCAGTAGTATTTTTAAAAATAATGGTTAAGAAACACATTTAAAGCCATAAACCAAATCATTTCTATTAGCTTAAAATGTATATTTTCGTAACCCTCAATATTGAATGAAATCCCATTGGTGTTGGAGCTACAACCACTGTGGCACACAACTTCTAACTAGCACACACACACACACACACACCCTGCGGCAAAGGATTCCATAATTCCGTCTCTAAACCCTGAAACCCTAACCCACACCCTAAAACTGAAACTCCGACCGAATATTTCAATGGTGACCGCAGCAACTAACGCAAAGCCACTTCTCTGTTTGTCCGTCATCCTTCACCTCCACCTCCGCAATTCGGCACTCGCAATCCGCAGAGCCCAACACTCCGGGGAAATTCATCGTCTGGTTCCGTAATGAGACGACGCTGCTGGTCCTGTGGCAGCCACCGTATCCGGCGGGCATCTACACGCACTACAAGGTGTCCATCGAGCCGCCGGATGCGAACGATAGTGTGCTCTATGTGGAGAAGGAGGGCGAGCCACCGGGTCCGGCGCAGGCTGCCTTCAAGGGTCTGGTGCCGGGCAGGGCCTACAACATCTCCGTGCAGACGATGTCCGAGGATGAAATCTCCCTGCCGACGACGGCTCAATATCGTACGGTGCCATTGCGTCCATTGAACGTGACCTTTGACCGGGACTTCATTACCTCCAATTCGTTCCGGGTGCTTTGGGAGGCGCCCAAGGGCGTCTCCGAATTTGACAAGTATCAGGTATCGGTGGCCACCACCCGACGTCAATCGACGGTGCCACGTAGCAACGAACCAGTGGCCTTCTTCGACTTTCGCGACATCGCCGAACCGGGCAAGACGTTCAATGTGATCGTGAAGACGGTGTCCGGCAAGGTCACCTCGTGGCCAGCCACCGGTGATGTCACCCTGCGACCCCTGCCCGTTCGCAATCTGAGGAGCATCAACGATGACAAGGCCAACACCATGGTCATCACCTGGGAGGCGGATCCAGCCAGTACGCAGGATGAGTACCGCATTGTGTGAGTAGCCAAACGGAATAATAAAATCTCTTTTACTGATTTGTAGAAAATTAATTGCAAATGGTGTGTTTTTGGCTTTCCACTCATCACTCATGTTTTATTCCCCCCACAGCTACCACGAATTGGAGACCTTTAATGGGGACACCAGCACTCTGACCACGGACAAGACTCGATTCACCCTGGAGAGCCTGCTGCCCGGCCGTAATTACTCACTATCCGTGCAGGCGGTCTCCAAGAAGATGGAATCGAACGAGACGAGCATATTCGTGGTCACCCGACCCTCGTCGCCCATCATTGAGGATTTGAAGAGCATCCGGATGGGTTTGAACATAAGCTGGAAGAGTGACGTCAACTCGAAACAGGAGCAGTACGAAGTGTTGTACTCGCGGAATGGAACCAGCGACTTGCGCACCCAGAAAACCAAGGAGTCGCGTCTGGTGATCAAGAACCTGCAGCCAGGAGCTGGCTATGAGCTCAAGGTCTTTGCGGTCAGTCACGATTTGAGGAGTGAACCGCATGCCTATTTCCAGGCAGTGTGTAAGTGTCTATACGGGATTTTGTTAATCAAAAGAGTGCTAGTTAATTGTAAATCACCCCTTTTTTTTTAGATCCCAATCCGCCACGCAACATGACCATCGAGACGGTGCGCAGCAATTCCGTTCTGGTCCACTGGTCTCCGCCGGAGAGCGGTGAGTTTACGGAGTACTCGATTCGATACCGGACGGACAGCGAACAGCAGTGGGTGCGCCTGCCCAGCGTACGGTCCACGGAGGCGGACATCACCGACATGACCAAGGGCGAGAAGTACACCATCCAGGTGAACACGATAAGCTTCGGCGTGGAGAGTCCGGTGCCCCAGGAGGTGAACACCACGGTGCCGCCGAATCCGGTGTCCAATATCATCCAGCTGGTGGACTCACGGAACATCACGTTGGAGTGGCCCAAGCCGGAGGGTCGCGTGGAGTCGTACATCCTTAAGTGGTGGCCCAGCGATAATCCCGGACGTGTCCAGACCAAGAATGTCTCCGAGAACAAGTCGGGTGAGTGGCGATCGATCGATTGGTGGAGCCTTCTCGAATCCTGAATATAAACCGGAACCACTCTTAACTTCTTCCACCTGAAACTCCTTTTCAACGACTTCTTTTGTTCTAAAACTTTTCTGAAAACTACCTAAAATTTTATTCTTTGAAATTTCGCGCAATTTCATTTTTTTCTCTTTTAATTATTTAACCTGATTCCTGGAACTTTTAATGTTGATCTTCAATTTGCTGTATAATATACTTAGATTCGTTCTTTTGGAAATACTTAGCTTTACCCTAAATCGATACTCTTAAATAGTAGATTAACCTTTAGTTGTTAATCCCTTTCCTATAAACTGTCTAGAATCAACTTTACTTTCGAGTTCAACTTATGCTATTGCTTCTTAAAGGTAGCTACTAAAAATCTTAATTATTTTATTAATGTTTTAAATTCTTTTCTCTAATTTTAAAATATCTATCTTTATTGCTAAGCTTTTTTCCTGGAATTATTGTTTCTTTTCTCTATCCTTTTATTGCTTTGTTAAAATTTCGCCTTCAGATTTTCCTGGCTATTTTCTGAGAATCCCAATTATTAGCTTGTTGAAATTAATTTTCCTATGGTGGCTGGAAATGATTTTGAAACTTCAGACAACATTATTGTTTCATTAGGTTTACTTTCTGATTGCACTGCAACATTTCTTAATGCTTCCCTTGTTTCTTATTATGCGGAAAGGTTAAATAAACCTTTGTGTAAACCTTTTTCTGAAAAAGTTCCTTGAACCTTTCCCCTTCGACTGCAAACTTCTGAAGCTTCTCCTGTTCTGTTCTACTCTAACCCTTCCCCTTCTGCTTCTGTGACTCATCCGAAAACAGCCGACGATTTGTCGACAGTGCGAGTCCTGATCGGCGAACTGATGCCCGGCGTGCAGTACAAGTTTGACATCCAGACCACATCGTATGGGATTCTGTCGGGGATCACCAGCCTATATCCGCGCACCATGCCGCTCATTCAGTCGGACGTGGTGGTGGCCAATGGCGAGAAGGAGGACGAGAGGGACACCATCACGTTGAGCTACACACCCACACCGCAGTCCTCCTCCAAGTTTGATATCTATCGGTTCTCGCTGGGCGATGCCGAGATCCGGGACAAGGAGAAACTGGCCAACGACACGGATCGCAAGGTGACGTTTACGGGTCTGGTGCCCGGTCGACTGTACAACATCACCGTGTGGACGGTGAGCGGTGGTGTGGCCAGTTTGCCCATCCAGCGGCAGGATCGCCTCTATCCGGAGCCCATCACCCAGCTGCATGCCACCAATATTACGGATACAGAGATCTCACTGCGCTGGGATTTGCCGAAGGGCGAGTACAATGACTTCGACATAGCCTACCTCACCGCCGACAATCTGTTGGCCCAGAATATGACCACCAGGAATGAGATCACCATTAGTGACCTGCGACCCCACCGGAACTACACATTCACGGTGGTGGTTCGTTCGGGCACTGAATCTTCGGTTCTGAGGAGCAGTTCCCCTCTATCCGCTAGTTTTACCACGAATGAGGCTGTTCCCGGGCGTGTGGAGCGATTCCATCCCACCGATGTGCAGCCCAGTGAGATCAATTTCGAGTGGTCGCTGCCCTCCAGTGAGGCCAACGGTGTGATCCGCCAGTTCTCGATAGCCTATACCAATATCAATAATCTTACGGATGCGGGATTGCAGGACTTTGATTCGGAGGAGTCGGTTGGTGTAATCAAGAACCTCAAGCCCGGCGAGACATATGTGTTTAAGATTCAGGCCAAGACTGCCATTGGCTTTGGACCGGAGCGGGAGTATCGGCAAACGATGCCGATACTGGCGCCACCACGTCCCGCCACCCAGGTGGTGCCCACCGAGGTCTATCGCAGCTCCTCGACCATCCAGATCCGGTTCCGGAAGAACTACTTCTCGGATCAGAACGGCCAGGTGCGCATGTACACGATCATTGTTGCCGAGGATGATGCGAAGAATGCCTCCGGCCTGGAGATGCCCAGCTGGCTGGATGTGCAGTCGTATAGCGTTTGGCTGCCCTACCAGGCCATCGATCCGTACTATCCCTTCGAGAATCGATCTGTGGAGGATTTCACAATTGGCACGGAAAACTGTGACAATCACAAAATCGGCTATTGCAATGGGCCCTTGAAATCGGGAACCACATACCGGGTAAAGGTGCGGGCGTTCACCGGAGCTGATAAGTTCACGGATACCGCTTACAGTTTCCCCATTCAGACAGGTGAGTGGAAATAGCTTAAGCAACATTGAATAGTATTATGTAGGGTTTTCATTAGACCATAGATCCAAAGATACAAACACATTTGTTAGAAATAAATATTTTATTACAGAAAATCTTTGTCATTATACCCAGTTAAATACAAACCTTTAACATCTCTTATTATCCATTAATCCATGTCTTGCCTTGCATATTCTATTATTCCGATGAATATATAGAAATGCTGAGCTCACCGGGTAAGCAATAGCCAATGCCTTATTAGCCTTGTCAAGATGATTAAAAACATATTGCATATTAAGTTTTAAAATAAAATACCTCTATGGTAAAATTAAATCGAAATATATTTTTAATTTATCTTTTTTAAAACATTATTTTACACATATGTATTTTTAAGGTATTTTAAAACAGTAAAGATTGAAAACCTCCCAAGGTCAAGTGAGGTTCTTTATTAATTATTATTTTAAAGTTCTTTTCGACCTTTTGGTTGGTGATTTACAAATTAACTGAATCCTTAAACTCCCTTCCTCAGATCAAGACAACACCTCACTGATCGTGGCCATTACCGTGCCGCTAACGATCATCCTGGTGCTGCTGGTAACCCTGTTGTTCTACAAACGGCGACGCAACAATTGTCGCAAGACGACGAAGGATTTGCGTGCCAACGACAATATGTCACTGCCGGATAGTGTGATCGAGCAGAATCGTCCGATCCTGATTAAGAACTTTGCGGAGCACTATCGCCTGATGTCCGCCGATTCGGACTTCCGTTTCAGCGAGGAGTTCGAGGAGCTGAAGCACGTGGGCCGGGATCAGCCGTGCACCTTTGCCGATCTGCCCTGCAATCGACCCAAGAATCGGTTCACCAACATCCTGCCCTACGACCACTCGCGTTTCAAGCTCCAGCCGGTGGACGATGATGAGGGTAGTGATTATATCAATGCCAACTATGTGCCGGGACACAATTCGCCGCGTGAGTTCATCGTGACCCAGGGACCGCTGCACTCGACGCGGGATGACTTCTGGCGGATGTGCTGGGAGAGCAACTCGCGGGCCATTGTCATGCTGACCAGGTGCTTTGAGAAGGGGCGCGAGAAGTGCGACCAGTACTGGCCCAACGACACTGTGCCCGTCTTCTACGGGGACATCAAGGTGCAGATCCTCAACGACAGCCACTATGCCGACTGGGTGATGACCGAGTTTATGCTGTGCAGGGTAAGTGGTGCTTCAAAAGTACAAAAGTAACTTGAACTTGACCGATATTTCTCTTTCTCTCTGCTTATGTTTGCTCCTCAGGGCAGCGAACAACGCATCCTGCGGCACTTCCACTTCACCACCTGGCCGGACTTTGGAGTCCCCAATCCGCCGCAGACACTGGTGCGGTTCGTCCGCGCCTTCCGCGACCGAATTGGAGCGGAGCAGCGGCCCATTGTGGTCCACTGCAGTGCCGGAGTGGGCAGGTCGGGCACCTTCATCACTCTGGACCGCATCCTGCAGCAGATCAACACGTCGGACTACGTGGACATCTTCGGCATAGTGTATGCCATGCGCAAGGGTAAATATTTCAAATAGCTGCACCGTTTAGAACCAGTTTATACTATTTATTTAAGCCACTACTAATGCTGGAATAATATAACATTTTAGAGCGCGTTTGGATGGTGCAGACGGAGCAGCAGTACATCTGCATCCACCAGTGCCTGCTGGCGGTGCTCGAGGGCAAGGAGAATATCGTGGGACCCGCTCGCGAGATGCACGACAACGAGGGCTATGAAGGTAGGTCTTGGGCCGGGGGATCGATCTTCCCCAGCCAACAACAAACCGTTCGCTCGCACACTGACTAACCAAAAAAAGGACATTGTGGGACTTGCAGCCAGCTGTTTTGTAGTTTATCCTTACTAGCCTTAAACTTGTTGTTTCGATTTCCATTCTGGTGATGGGTGACTAACTATGAGCAAATTCATTTTCCTTCATTTTCCCTCAAACAATGCAATGCAAACGGCAATCCAAAAGGCCAACAAGTGCAGCTGGACGAGAACGGGGATGTGGTGGCCACCATTGAGGGTCACCTGTCGCATCATGACCTCCAGCAGGCCGAGGCGGAGGCCATTGACGATGAGAATGCGGCGATACTCCATGACGACCAGCAGCCGCTAACGAGCAGCTTCACTGGCCACCACAATCACATGCTGCCCACCACATCGATGAGCTCCTTTGGCGGCGGAGCTGGAGGAAATGGCAATGTGGATGCGCCGGACAGATGACATTCGGTTGTCAACCAGAGCGATAACAACAATTCGGTGGTTATCGTCCTGGTTGACAACAAGCCAAGCTCGATGATCTGCAAGGACAGCAAGGGCGGCAACATCGATGTCCTCGAATACGAATCGCAGCAGCAGCACCAGCAAGCTATCCAGGGAGCCCACACCATGACCACCATATCCGCCGTCAATGGCTACAATACGCTCCAGCATAGACGCAAATCCCAGCTGATCACCTTCAGCTCGTCGTCCTGTGATATCAAGAACAGTCTCAGCCATGAGCACATCAATGGATCCAATGGATCGGCATCTGGTGGTGCTGCGGGATCTGGTTCGGGTACGGGCAGCAATCGGGCCAGTCGCGCCAATGTCCGGCTCAGTTTCGCCGAGGAAGATGTGATGATCTTGCCACAGAACCATCAGCAATCCAATCATCAAGAGGATGAGGTCTTCACGCGGCGTCGGTCGCTTTTGGAGGTGGAAATCGGTGTGGAGGTTGGCGAGGAGGGTGAACTGGTCCCCCACGAGCTGGACGAGGATCTCGAAGAAGAGGATGAGGACGATGACGACGACGACGACGAAGAAGTCGACGAAGAGCTGTACATGCACGATGAGTTCGAGACCCACATCGACGCAAAGTCGAACAATGCCAACGATGACAGCGGCGGCGGCAGCTACGAGGACTCCCATGCCCTGCACTCCTCGCTGGGGGGCAGCAATCGGAATAGTCTGGAGAAGGATGACGACGACATCGAGGTGGATGTGATCAGCACGGATGTCAGCTGTTACGATCAGCTGCTGGGCAGCAGTTGCAATACGCGGAACGGCGATGACGATGACATAGCCACACTGGTGGGCGATGGCGACTATGCCACCACGAAGCTCTGCAAGTCCTCCAGATTATCCGGCGGAGGAGGAGTCGGCGGACTGGTGGTGGGTGGACTCAACGGCAGCGGCGGCGGAGGAGGCGGCTGCGGTGGAATCGGAGTTAATGGTGGTGGTGTTTTGGGCAATGGTGTTGGTTCCGAGGCTGGCGGCGGCATCATCTATGCCAATCCGTTCATGGGTTTGTAGACACTTTCGCAAATCCGCGAGGTGGTGCAGTGCGTTTCATGGTTCCCAAAATTACGCATTTACGGAGAAAAGTAACAATTTCGGGCTTAGAATTTTATTTAAATACCTATTGAGAAAGATATCCTATTTTAGTAACTATAATTGAAAGTGAACTTAAACCCATTTTAAAGATTTCTTAAGTAAAGTCGCCTCATTATCATGAAATGCACTGTGACCATATCTCTTAAATGTTTTGTATTGTATTCTTGCATGATTGCCTGTATATTTTATTTTATGTTATCTTGATTGATTTCTAACACTGCATGTGCTAAGCCTTTAAATAACCTGACTCGAAAAAACACTAACCATGCCCTTTTAAATGTCTTTCAGATGACGAGGGCATTGCAGAGTCGGGCATGTAAGCCCATTCCAAAACTTAAGTCCCCGGCCAATCCCAACCAGTCCAAACCAACTCAACTCAACCGAATGGAACCCAACCCAACCATCATGTGGCAACTACATTATTATTTACTTAAGGGACGCAGTGAGGGGAGCGCGGAGGATAAACGCTTGATATTATACTTGGATATATGTGTACTACACCGGATACTACTGGATATATATACTCTACACCGATCTATCGAATGGGAATGCAGCAATCTCGCCAAACAGAACGAACACGCATCAATTTATACATTTTATATATATCTAAGATAACGAGGAATCGGCGTACATTGTAACCGCGATCGCCGCTTAAAACCGGCGATACTGAATACTGGAATACTGATTGTATTTTTACGCTAGCCACAATTTGATATAAACTATATATCTTCCAATTTTTTTGTACACCTAATGTTAGTTGAAATATGTGAGCGAGACGAGCAAACTTTTGTAGCAATCTAAAAGCGCTAAATGTTTACTTTTTTATATTATTATATATATAAATACTTGATAAACATATACCTAATATTAGACCTAAACTAAACTAACTATAAATCGCACACACTCATACACTCACAAAAACACAATGCAATAATTGAGTTACATAGTTTTAAAAAAATAATGTTACAACATTTTGCTGCAACTGTCGGAGATGTAGTGTAAAATTTTAATTTTTTCTTTTTTTTTCTGTTTTGTGTTTAATTCTTTGTAACCTTTACAAGGCGTAAACTGTGTATGTTTGTGCTACATTAATTTTGTTTAATTATATAAAGTTTTATTTAAAAATCGAAGACCATTTTGCATTCTCTTCATTTGAATTTGGCGCTTACACTTAACACTTATATAGGTCCAAAACAGAGGGCGCTGGAAATCAATCCAATCATCAAAACGTAATGTAAAACACCGATATTAATGTTTTAAAAACACCACAATAACTACACACACAATGAGAAAACAGTCGTGTTTCCGTTTTCACTTACTTATTGCGGTTCAGTCTAATATTATGAGGATAAAATACAAATTTTGAATACAAAAAGCAAACTAAATTGATCAAAATTCTTGTATATATTTATATAATTTAGTGTTTTGTGATCTAATTTGTACTAACTCGTTTTTAAGTGTTTGCTTTTTGATTAATTAGTTTCTCAACTCTAATTTTTTTTCGTAAAATAATTATTTAAACCATAATTGGACTTAAACCTTTTAAATTATTTTTAAATTACGTTTATTTAAAATCATCTAAAATTACAAATCAAATAAAAAATTGAAAACGTCATATTTGATGGATTTTAAAGTCATAAAAATCTGGCGACTATGAAGTTAAATTCCGGCAATAAAGTGAATATGGAAGCTCAGCTGATAAACAGACAGCACAAATAAAACAACAGGAACAAATGACCAACGCATTTCGTAAGGCGATAATCATTTACACGAAAACCAATAAGAATAACAGGATCCCACGCAAACTGTAGACTAACTAACAACAAAGTTAAGGGCTACTTAACAGAGCCGGTGCCAAAGTAAAAAAAGAAACACACCTACACACGACAACTAACTGTAACAATAGCAATAAACTTAAATAAAAATTGTAGTCCAAATAATTTGCATACATTTGAATTTGTCCAAACTTAGTTGAATGATTAACCGAACTGTGAAAGAGTGCAATAGAAATCGTTTTGCTTCTAGATTAGTGAAAATGCAACGAATCCATTTTTTTGAGTACGAACTATCCCTAAATCCTCAAAAACAATAATTACATATATATGCAAAAGCTAGAGAAGATGAAACTAGAAAGTCTGTATAATGCATACATAATATACGACTCCATTATACACGTACTAAGGCCGATGAATAACATATGCATATACAATATAGACATATATTAAATATATATCATTGTAATAATTTGTAATGTTTATCAGTAGAATTATGATCTGAGGTGGAGCAGAAGAGTAAAACGCAAGCAGAGATCCATTAAAGTGTACTGTAAAATGTGCGAAAATTTGTTTCATCTAAATTTCTTGGAGTTTTTGCAGTTCTTCAAACGGTAAGTAAAAAACATATTGAGTGTTTTTCAAAAATTTAATTAAATTATCATCTTTAAAGGCAATAAAATAAGGCTGATTATCTTACCAAGTTGTTTGATAGTATAAAATTAAATAACTTCTTTCCCAGCAAGAATTTTAATTCGCGAAAAAGTCGCATAATTAATAATTATATCTCATACTGTTTTTAAAATAAAATTCGATAAAATTCTAAATGTAACCAATCAAAACACGTTTAGTTGAATTCTTTCATTTATTGTTTTTATTTTTCATCTTTGTATATTTGACTTAAATTGGTTTCTTAGTTCTCTTTTGGTTTTCGTTTCATTTGTTTTGGTTTTCGTTATTCGACTTTACAACAATTCACTTGCTTTTGGAGAATTATGCCTTGAACGCCTTCAGTTTTGCTATGCTAGTTAATTAATTAATTCATTAAATATATAGTTAAGTGTATTGAAGCACAGATATTCGAACTGGATCGTGTTTAAATAAGCCAGAATAACCGATCGATTAAGGACCCAACGAAACCGTCTAAGAAAAATGTCAATGAATTGTAAAATTCACTTAAAGTAATTGTCACATACACATATACGAGTATATCAAATATCCAATGCTTAAGCAGATATATCAAAATTGCCATGTTCATTGGATTGTTACATGTCTGTCTATGGATGCGTTTGCTCTAATTTTTGTTTCCTGGTTCCATCTTTAAATGATTTAAATTTGTATGTGTTGCGCTTCTTGTGTTTTATGTTGTTGAAAGGCACTGCTGCATTCAAACTTTTCCATTTTTAGCCCCCGGATCTTAACCCCTTAGTCTCATTTGGTAATTTTATGTTTGGAGATAATTTAATTTAGATTTTCCGTCTAGTGCTTGTGCCTTAATTTCCAGCGAATGCCTGCACAGTTTCGCATATTTCACATATCTCTAAGCTTTTAGGAAGGACTTCCTCAAAGTATCTGTATCTGTACGTGACGTGTTTGCATTATTTGTGTGTGAACAAATTCTTATCATCTATTTACTTACAAAATCTCCATCGAAGCTACACATACGTGCTCTCATTTATTTTTAATTTATCTGCTCTTTTTTTTGGTTTTCTTCGGTTCTTTATTTAAATTTTATACCACATACCCTATATTGATTTAAATCTTTTGTGCACTTTTAATATTTTTAAAAGCTACCAAGCAACCTTCAAACCAAAATAGTATTACATTTTTATGGTAACTCTAAAGTTTTAAATAAATTGCTTAAAACACCGGACCACAATTAATGGGAATTATTAAGTAATTTAAATCATTAGGAGTTGGAAATAAATATTTTTAGATGTTATGAAACCGTCCCAGATTTTACAAATTTTAAATGCTTAATTCAATTAAATGTTTTTCGCAATTGCTAGACTATTTGAACCTAATGACAGCTATTTGTATATTTGAATTGTTTATCTATCCACGGAAGCTCAACAAACAGACATTATAAATTCAAAATATAAATTATATACCTTTTGAATGTAGGCATAAACAATAATATACTTCTGGTAGGTTTTGTTGATAATACTGATTGATGAAATAATGTTAAGTTTTATTGAACTATTGTCAGAATTCTTGCAGGATGTTAAATTATAGTTTAACATCTGTATTTAACGTTTTTCCTTCAGTTTAAAATTCCTCAAAACCATTTTAGCATATTCCTATATATTCTTATAAATAACCGACTTTCTGAATTTTCTCATTTCCAATTAGAATTAAAAAAATGCAACAAAAATGAGTTAAAGTAAAGTTAGTGAGTATTAGTATGTAGGTGGAAAAGCCAGTCAAGTATTGGAGTATCTTGACATTTCTTCTCGGAAATTATAAATGTTAAAAACAAAAAAAATTAATTCGATATATTCCAAAGTTTTTAAATGTTAACGTAGAAATCATACAGAACTTTTATTTTGTTATAACGCCAAAATAACAAATTTAAGAACTCACAAACCCTAAAAGGGAAAAATTAAAATTAAATTAAAGAATAATTAAATAAATATAGTTATTAGTTTTGTAAATGTCTTGACTCGTAAAAATACTACAGAATTTTGTTATGCTAAATGGAATTTAGACTTTACCGACATTTCTTATCCTTTTGTTTTTTTTTTGGGATTCTTCAGACTTAGAAGCGTGCTGCCGACTCCCAAACATTTCTCCACTTTCGTTTAAAAGCTTATGTCTAAAGGAGAACCTTGAGCTACAACAACAACTACTAAATGACACTGGTGATTCCAACGACCACGCCCACTATTATTCAAGCTGTCCACGGCGATGGCTGCGATGACCACGATGATGATGGCGATGCTGCCGATGATGGTTCCTGACCTCCGCCTCCGTTTCGGTATCGGTATCCTCCCGATCCCGATCCCGATCCCGATCCTGATTCTGATCCCGCTCCTCATCCTCCTCCTCATCGTCGATGGCATCCTCATCGTGCTCATTGAGCAGCAGAGGACTGTCGTCACCCAGGCGATTGGGGGGCAGCCCGCTGCCCGGAGTCGTGGGCGCCGATCGTGTGATCCAACCCTTGCGGGCCACTCGTCCCCGGTTCACAAAGAAGCTAGCACCGCTCACCACACTGCTCACAGGACTCTTGAGCACACAGCGCTGGGCTCCCGATCCCGAACCGGTTCCACCGATGGCCGCCATGGGTATGTACAGAGCCTTGTTCGGCTGCGTTTTGCTGCCGGAGGTGAAGAACTTTTTACTCCGCCCACTGCTGCCGCCGGAAAGGGATGCGGATGTGGTCAGGATGGGCTGCAGCAGCTGCTGGGAGTTCGAGGGCGTCGATAGCGTGTGCTGCAGCCGGGGTTTGGCCCCAGTACCGCTGAGCAGAAGTTGTTCGTAGCTAACGCCCGCCTGCAGCTGGCGTATCTGGTCGAGAATCTCACGCACTTCGCCCGTCGGACTGGTGGCCTGCGGCGGCGATCCCGGTGTCCCAATGTTGGCCAGACTACTCACTCCCGACACCTGGGCCGACGGCTGGCAGCAGTTCTCCAGGCTGTGCAGCGGATTGGGCTGAATGCAGCCATTGCTGTAGATAATCGGTGTGCCAGATCCCCCCGAAGCTCCGGGGCCACCCGTAACCGATCCTCCCAAGCCGCCCATGGCCAGGCTGTTCAGCGAGGCAGCCTGCGTGGCTGCTCCACTCTCCGCGCTTTGCGAGGCACCGCCGACTCCTCCACTCTCTGGCAGCATACCTGGAAACAATATTTAATTAATTGGGAATTGAAACGTGCTGAATAAACCTGAGATACCCACCTGCCACACAGCTGTTGTTCACAAAGATGTCGCTGAGGCTGCTGCTGCTATTCGCCATGTACCGGAAGTGCTGGTCGCTCTGGGATTGGAGGTAGCCCACGCCCACTCCCTCCTCGTGGGAGGCATGCAACCGAGTGCTGTAGAGGGCACCTCCGCCAGGGGCACTGCCCAGTGCCACGGTGGCATAGTGCTGCGCCTGGGCGGGCATCAGTCTCGGTTGATAGGCGTCCGTTTCCACCAGCTGGGATGCCGATCTCGGCATGGCGTAGTGCACGGAGGCCAGCGGAACACTTGGCACCTGGTGTGGCGCCCCCTGATCCATTGATCTCAGGTGGGCAGTGCCATGTCCGTGGGCATGGGCATGCGCCACGTAGTGATGCAGCCCCAATTCCGGACTGGCTGCCCGGGAATATGGCGGTGGCACCAGGGTATTCGCCTCGTTCGCATTGCAGATGAAGCTGGAGCTCAGGGAGTCCACGGTGCTGGCCGCACTCAGGGATCCCCCCGCCGCCGGCCGGACAATGTAGTTCCGGAAGTACTGCACCATCAGGTAGCTGGAGCTGCCGTTGCCCTTGCCATTGCCCGAGTCGCTGTTGCAGGTGAAGACCAGCGGATACAGATCCGGTTTGGAGGTCACCTGAGGGAGAGAGAATAAATTTATTAGTATACATTTCAGAGTTCATAAAACTAAAAACACCTTTCTCTTGTTTATTCATTTGTCTCAGCATAAACAAGTTGTAGTTTTATTACTATATATTTTACTTATACTCCGTCAAAAATATTTGTTGAAAAAGAAGATAGGAGGAACATATTATTGCGATCTTTAGGATTAATTACCTCCGTGTAGGGCGGCGGCGGATGGTGGAACGAGTTGCAGCGACTATATTGCGGAGGCGCGTAGCAGGAACCGGCGGAATCGCCCTCGGATTGGGTGTGGTGCTCGTTGAATCCCCAACCACACAGAGTCCTCCGCTTCTTCCATAGTGAGTAGGCACACAGGATGGCCAAGATAATGGCCACAACCACGCACCTGCAAGGAAAATATATTGGATTAATAGAGCTTGCGATGATTTTCGAAGGTTATATCCAGGGTATTTCACGATCTGACTTAAGTTGATCACTAGATTATACGGGTTACTTTTAACAAAAAAAAAGGTTATTAATATTTTTTCATATATTGAGCTAGGATCAACCAACTATAGTCAACCTACTATATTTTTTGATTTAATATTTTTAAATGAAATAAATCCATATTGTAGGAAGCCCTGATAGGAACTTAGCTGAGAAATCGTTTTGTGCAAATGTGCGGATCACTAACTGTTCGGTTTGAAGCTGGCGCGACTGAATAAAGAAGCCCATTTGACCGGATCCGGATGCGGATACGGATCCGTGTCCTGCTGTGCCCGTAATCGAATTTCGACTGAAATTTGTTTGCCCTTTTGGTGGCCAAGAGATGGGATTATATGAGCAGGGTGGCGGGCGGGTTCCGTCTGTGTCTCATTAGTTGGCATTGCCATTTCCACGGCCCCCAAGAGAGGCGGCTAGTGCCATGGTAGCGTGGTGCTGGCGTAGTGGTTGTGCCATGGCAGTGTAGTGGTAGTGTGGGGCTGCAGCTTGCATAAGCCTCTCGACTTGACTCGACTTTTGACTTGACGCAACCCCGGCGCCGGGCGCCACCTTTGCTGCCAATAATAATAATATCTCGCATGGCATACAATGCCAATCAGCTGGCAGTCCGACCAGAGCACCCACCACCCACAACCCACCAGCAACCCCCCTCTGAATGGCCTTGCAGTCGACCTCCGGGGAATCCCCAAAAAGAAAAACAAATGCAACCAAGACCATGGTCATATGTACATACTATCGAAGTAAATAAATAAATCACTCTTACTACAATTAAAACGATTGGAACCTAAGAATATTGAACTTTTTATGGCTGCCGCTTGAATAGGTTTCTAAAAACAATCAAATTTTACCACATAAAAACAAACAACTCGAATAAAAAACTTAGAACCATAAAATAGATTTTTAACTGAGATACTATGAAAAAATAGAAAATCAGACATTTTATTATTTCTCAACGCGTGGTGATCAGATATACATACATATATGTATGAACTTAATAGGGTTATAGAGGTTTATTATATATGATAGAGGTCTTGTTCATAAATCTCTTACGTACCAGAAAAACCAGTGGGTTGCAAAGAACAGGTTAAGAACGTGAGAGTCCGAGGGCGGTGGCAGGGGGCGTGGCCCGCCCTGGTACGGTGGACAACAACCCTGGGTGCAGCAGCCCTGGCTGCAGCCCTCGCAAAATCTAGCCGACACCTGTCAAAATAGAAATATATATCATCTATAAGTTTTCAAGTTCATATTTTTACTGTGTAACAAGTAACTAACCGTTAAAAAAATAATAAACTTTGAGTTCTTTTAATTGAAATCTATTTACGACAAAAATTCATATTAATTAAATATTTTTTCTGAGCAGAAATCGGTTTTTTGTCTCTGCAGTTTATGGAAAGAAAAAAAAGAAAACAGTGGGCAAGAAAAAGCATATGAAAATGTCATAGTCAATATCGCTGTGTCCACATAGAACAAACAAAATAAACAACTGCCCAGCAAAAAAAGGGAACTAATTGTGAACCAGAATGGATTAACCTATTTTAAAAACTTTTTGAAGAGTATCCTTAAGATATTTTAAAAAATTATTTCATTTTGATAATTGTACATAATAAGTCACAAATATATTTTGTAGCCTTGTTATTGTGCTTATATTTTTTTCTGTGATTTGTAAAGCGAAAAAATGTGGATATATTAAATGCACTTATCGCCTTTGGGAGTGCAATCGCAATCAAATTAAAATGCAAATGTGCATGCAACATTGATGAGTTCGCGTTTGCTTATAATTCTTTTAGTTGGTAAGCAAAATTACACATTTTTTTATTTTGTTACAAATGTTGAATTCAGGTGTAACTTTTTTACACAACTTATGTTATTAACTGGTTAGTTTTATATTTATACTTAATAAAGAGATAAAACTAAAAACCATAAAACATTTAAGACCGCTTCTTGTCCAAATTATACACTTTATTTTTTACAATTAAATCTTTGTTTTCTAGGGTTAAGCTTGTAACTTAGTTGTTGTTGTTTTTGTGTTTACTGCTACTTTCTGTGTCTGCAACATTGATGAAAGGCACTTACGTTCGCTGGCAGCGCCAAAAGGAGGAAGAAGGAGAGTAGGATCCACTGCAGCGCCACCGTGTGAGGGGGAGCGGGATGGAGCCACATGGCTCACTGCCTCAGTCGACGTCGCGGTCTCAGTCGCAGTCGCTGCCCGAGCTGGCGCCAAATGTCTTGTGTTGTCCTTATCTTTTTTCGTTTTTTTTTGTGCAGCCTCCGTTTGTTTTTGGCCCTCGTGTGTGATTTGTTCCTGACTTTTGTTTTGTTTTCCTATCTATTTTTTTCTTGTTGTTGATACTTTTGTCTTTCGTTATTTGTGCCACATGCTGTTTTTGCTATTGTTGTTGTTGCGGTTGCACTCACACAAACAACGTTTGTTTTGTCCTTGATAGACGCCAAATGTATTTTAGCGTAGCATGCTTTTGTGCGTTTGCGCTTGTTGTTGCTGCTGCTGCAGAGAAAAGAGAATTTGTTGCTAACTTAAGGTTGTATTATTTATTTTATTACACACTAACACATCATCACACACAAAAGAGCACTTGCACACACACAAACACATACACAAACGACGCCAAAGAAAATTTTCTTTTCGTGTGACGCCACTCTTTTTTTTCCGTTTACAATTTAAGTTTAGAAAGCAAACACTTGAAATTATGGAAGATGTGCAATTAAGCCCTTGTAATTGTTGTTAACCCGAAAATTTGAGGCATATAGAAAACAACAACAACAGTATCAGCAGCAGAAGGATATAAGGATGCAGGGGTGGGAAATAGGGGTGGTGAAATGCGAAGCACAGTGCAAAGCGGAATTCACCGTTAGCCTCGGACGTGGGAGCGCGCACAGCAACAACTGAGCGACAAAAACGGAAACAAAGGAGCCACCAGCTTTTCAACTGTCAGCCAGGATTGCAACCTCACCCAAAAAATAGTAAAAATCCCAAGAGGTTTGAAGTCATTTTTAGAAGAATCTTAAAATGTGTAACAATATGTTTTATATCCAGAAGTCCCATCACGTTCCATTTTTTATAGCATACTTTTAGACCCCCTATTAAATGATTTTAAGTCCTTCTAAAGACTCAATAAAAATTGAACTATTAGTCAATATAACAGTAACGTTTCAAAAAACCTACTCTATTCAATAGGCATATTTAGCCTGGCAACCCCAACAGCTGATGATGATTTTTCCAGTGGGTGAAAGTGGGATGACTACAAAGCGCATGAGCTCAAGAGGCGCCGATTTTTAAATCCAGATTAAATGTAAACAGATATACAAAATTGTCTTAAGATATACCAAAATTTTATAAACTGTAATTCTAGACAAAAGAAGTAAAAGACTAGAAGAAACTCCTTTATATTTCTATTTTTTTAATAATGATTACTTAAATGACTTGTGTAAATAGGTATACAATCCAGATATTCTAGAAATCTATTGTTTTGCCTCAAAAAATGCAATAAATTTCAAATATATAAGTTTCAACAGCAATTAAATCCTTAATTGTGAATAACGATTAAAAGGTACTCAGAACCCAAACAAACTAAAAATAAATACCCCAAGTATAGCAATTTAATTTTTAATAAAATCGAGAGGCAATAAAAACGTATGCTATTATATTGATTGTAAAAAAAGTAAAGATTTGTAGCAATTAATGTATGCAAAATAATAAACTAAAGCTTACACGACTTCCATGAAGAACATAAAACGTGAGTAAGCCAATAACATATGCTAAACTTATGCGAAACGTAAATCTACTTTACTTTGAAGAACGAGGCAATGCTCTTAGTGCCTTTGGCTCCCTTTGCCAAAGCCTTTTCCTTGGCAGTCAGCGAGCGCTCCTTCAGCGGACCCTGCGTGGGCGACGTAATGCTGGCATTGGGATCACCATCACTGTCCAATAGACCGCTGCTCTTCAACTTCGCGGCTGCATCGCTGTCGTTCAGCTTTATCTTTTTGGAGTCGCTGCCCTCGTCCTTGCCGGCCTTCGATTTCCGCTTTTGGGCAGCAGTCTTCTCCTCCACAATTGCCTGTATCTCGCTGGGAATGTGCAGATAGTGGATGAGCAAGTCGTGCAGATCTGCATCCAAATACCGCCCCACAATATCACAGGCCATGCGCGTGTAGTCCATTTCCTTGCAGGCGTTTTCTGCCACCAGTTTCTCGCTCCGCACGAAATTTTGCGACTGGGCGCTGTGGCCACAATGGACTTGTTTCTCCTTCAGGATATTCGCCACATGGCGCGTCTTCAGAGCCAACCAGGCCAACGTTCGCTCTTGGTTGTATTTGTAAAACCTCTGGTCGCCAGAGCTCTTAACATCCGCAACGCATTTAAGGGTCTCCGGGAAGATAAACTCGTTGAGCAGGCGACTGGTGCTATTCTCCTCCACCGCAATATTGTCCAGTGACATTGCTCCTGTTTAAAAAAAGATAAACATAAGGTTAGCTAGTTCATAGTTTTTCTTAAAGTACTTGCATATCTTCCTGATCAGCACTGCAGTTTTTAAATATATAAAAATCGAACTAAGATATCGTACTTTGCGCACAGTGTTTCCGGAGGTGGTGAAGAGCCAGGAGCGTTGGATCCACTGGCGAGGTCATGTAGATCCTGCCATTGGAGCAGACCTCGCTGTTCAACAGCCAGCTGCGACGAGGTTCCGCGTACTCCAGCAGCTCCATCATTTGACCATCGGGATGGGTGACAAAGAGTGCATCCTTCCCTTGTCCTGGGTGATAGAACCGCTCCAGCCGGAGGCGTCGATCGTCCGCATCCTTTTGCAGCAGTTCCTTCGACACAAACAACACTTTTTTCAGCGCCGATGCCGTGGACTTCTTGCTAGATCCCTCTGCCTCCGGATCCGGCTTGGGTTTACTCGCACGCGTTGCCTTTTTGCTCATTTTTCCGGCTTAATTTAACAAATGTAAATGTAAACAACAACTGACTAATGCCCTCTTCCCACAGAGCTCCATCCACCATCCACCATCCGTTGAACGGATGGTCCATAAGGTTTTGCCGTTCCGAAAATTCCCAGTTAGTTCCCCATCCAAATTTGACGGACTTTTTTATGCGATAGTTAGGCGATGTTTTTTTGGTGCAACTCTGAGTTCTTCTTCTTGACAGTGGAAATTGTAACATTCACTACGAAAATTTAAAAAAAATAATGGCGGGTAACTTTTGAACAGGAAGGCGCCAATTCAAAAAATGCAGTTTATACTTGTAATAATTAATTAATTACTGCTCCATCCGTGTGTTAGCATTAGGTGTTGCTCCACTCTTTCCTAGGCGCATACCTTACTCACAACATTAAGCAGAACATTTAAAATGAAATAAAATATGAAATTATAATAAAACAAAAAACAAACATTTATATATAATGAACTTGATTTGTTACCATTTAGACAATATTGGGCAATAGCTGTTCATATTTTGTCTGCAGGCTGGCAAAAAAATGCAGACGTATTAGTTCGTTTTGATTGTTCGCGTAGATCACTTGCAGTCAGTTACCAAGTATCAATTATAACGCTGTTGTGCTCATTTTAAATGTTGTGCAAAATGCAACGGGCTAAAATAATGAGCCACAGCTGTTCAGATCAGCTGTTATCGGATGGTGGATGGTGGATGTGCTCTGTGGGAATCGGAGTTTCACATTTGTCAAAAATCCCAACCGTTTCAGACGGATGGACTCTATGGGAAGAGGGCATAAAATTTCCCGCTTTTGTTGGCGATGACAGTTTGCCGATGGCCATAATCGATAGGCAGATAGCCAATCGGTATTTGAACACTTTAATATTTTAGTATTTTTATTTGGTTTTTTTTTTAACTAATGTTCGGTCACAATAGTCGTCCGTTCAAAATGATGAAATTGTTTGTTGTGGTGTAATTTATTAACAACAACATGAGCGTTGATACAGATATAGCTAGCACGATTAAGTTCCGGGACATTTGCGACCTGTTCGAGAAGCTGAAGGCCACCAAGAAGGTGGTCAACAAGGAGGAGGTCCTCAAGAGCTACTACGAGTCCTTCTGTCGGCATCGCGACTCCTTTCGCCGACAAACCGGATTATCCGATGACCAGACGGAGAACGGAGTCAGTAGCTTCTATTCGGTACTGCGACTGCTCCTTCCTGGTGCGGATACGGGAAGAGATAGCTATGGACTGCAGATCACGGCGCTGGGCAGGCTCTACATAAAGGTGCTCCAACTGCCCGGTGACTGTAAGTGAATAAACCCGGGTACTTGGGCCAATCAATAACCCTTCTGTTGTCCCTCTTTAGCCAGTGATGCAATTATGTTGCAGCACCGCACCGGGAACATGTATAGGGATTACGGCGATGTCGTCTATGCCGTCCTCAAGCCAAGGTGCTTTAATCCGCCCAGCGATCTGCGGCTGAAGCATATCCACGAAATGCTGGACACCATTGCCAACGAGGACACAGAGGGTGTGTATGTGCTGGTCCAACGGCATACTTTATTTATCCTAGTTCTCAATATAAACCCCCCTCCTCAAATTTTATCAATGCAGTTAAGACACAGCAACTCATCCGATTTACGGAGCAGGCCTCGCCCGAGGAGCAGAAATGGCTAATCCGGCTTTTGTTGAAGAGCCTTGGCTTGGGGATCGGGGAGCAAAAAATCTTTGGTGTACTGCACCCCAAGGCACAGGACATCTATCAACGCTGCTCCGATCTGGGACACGTGTGTAATCTGCTGGCCGACATGAACACCGACCTGGACGCAAGCACCTCGGACAGCAAACCTGAGGTCAAGTTTGTAAACTTAAATGCCGTCATCCGGCCATTCCACCAGATACGACCCATGCTCTGCGAACGATTCCCGGGTGACATCCAAGAGTTAATGCAATCCGATGTCCTCTATCTGGAGACCAAAATGGATGGTGAGCGATTCCAGCTTCACATCGATGGGGGACGCTTCATGTACATCTCCCGGAATGGCGTGGATTACACCCGAAACTTTGGCAACAGCTACGAACGCGGCACGCTAACGCCTAAGCTGAGGGGCCTGCTCCCACTCGGTCTGCAGTCTATCATTCTCGACGGCGAGATGATGGTGTGGGACACCAAGAGGCTGCGCTTTCGGGAAAAGGGCGAGAACACTGATGTGAAGAGCCTGAAGCCGGAGGGCAGCTGGCAGCCCTGCTTTGTGATATACGATCTGTTGTACTTTAATGGCCAGAGCTTGCTGGACCTCACCTACATCCAGCGGGCATACAAGTTGCAGAAGCTAGTGGTGGAGCAGCCGGGTGTGTTGCAGTTAATGCGCGGCCGCAAGATTGGCTCCGTTGAGGAGTTCAACCAGCTGTTCCAGCAGGCCCTTGATTCTCATGCCGAGGGCATTGTCCTGAAGAAGCAGGGATCCAGATATCAGCCGGGTGTAAGACTAGGCGGTGGCTGGTTTAAGGACAAAGCGGATGTGAGTAAACTTATTTTTGACAGAATCTAAACATACTTATTTCTTTTTCCTTCCAGTACATCAAGGGTCTGATCACCGAGTTCGATGTGCTGATCATTGGCGGTTTCTACAACCGCAAGTGCACCTTCGTGGAATCCTTTTTGCTGGGCGTTCTACAACCAGCGCCACCTGGCAGCTCCAATCGACACGAAGTCTTCAGCATCGGAGTGGTTACCAACAATACAAAGCAACGTGGAGTGCTGAATCACACGCTTAAACCGCATTGGCACAATGTGGTCAAGGAGCCACCGCCGCTGTGGTTTCACTACAAGGCCAAGGAACGGTCCGGATGCCCCGACCTGTGGATCGAGCCACACAACTCGATTATTCTGCAGGTGAAGGCTGCTGATTTGTCGCCCAATGCTGCATTTTATACCCGCAAGTCGCTGCACTTTGCGCGCACTGAAACGAAGCGCGACGATAAGTCCTGGAATGAATGTATGACGCTCAGAGAGTTCAACGACCTCTGCGAAGGCTCCATGGGCATTAAGAAACTAAACAAGCGACAGCTGCGACTGGAAGATGTCACCACAAAGCGAAAGCTGCAGCGGATGACGCCCTCAGAGCGTAGCCGCCTGGGACTGGCCGTCTACGAGAAGCGCTGTGAAGTCGACCCCGCCGCGAGCAGCTCCAAGCTCTTAGACGGTCTGAGCTTTTGCATCCTGAGCGGATCAGCTGGACGTCAAAACAAGCTCCAGCTGCAGGAGCTGGCCGCCAAAAACGGTGGCTGCATCGTGGAGAATCCGCTGCCCAACGATCCCAAGTGCTTCTGCATTGCCGGTGACGAGACGTTCCTGGTCAAGCGGCTTAAACTGCAGGAGCCGCGCACCTGCGACATTGTGCGCATGGAGTGGTTGCTGAGGGTTTGCCAGAAGCAGGAGCTGGAACTGAGGCCCAAGGATCTACTAGCGGCGACAGAGCCACTGCGTCAGGATCTAGCCGAGTGCTTTGACAGGCTAGGCGATAGCTACAACAAGGATATTGCGACGGTCGGCGATCTGCAGGAATTGCTGCAGGAAATTGAATTGGCCCCAGAAGATTTGGCTGACTCTAGCACATCTGAAGTAAATGCTTTGGAGGATCAGCTGCTGGATGGGAAAAAGAGCCTCAACATGTTCCGCCACTTGCACGCCTATTTCTACGATCCGCACGGCGATGAATTGGGCAAGGTTCTGTTCCTGCAAAACGGTGGCAAGTTGGCCAAGGAGTCCGATCCGCAGCTTAATCTTGGATTCCTCTGTATGTCCTCCGACTTGGATGACAATCATTTTAAGCACTGGCTAAAAAACCATTCCAAGTTGAGTGCCGACAAGGTCCTAAACTCTGCTTGGATCCACCAATCGCATCGGGAGGGGGTCCTTCTCCCAATGCAAGGTTTCGTTTAAGTCCTTAAATGTTTAAAACTTTATATTTGTTTATAAAAAATAAATTGTTATCTAAAAAAGAAAATCATAAAAGTGGATTTATATCTAGATTTGTTTGACTTGTTTAACGTTGACCCAAAATTGGACTTCGAGAGTCCATAACTTTACCAAATTTAAGCCGATTTCAAAGTGGCATACCTCTAAAGACTTGTGATTCGATCCTCTAAAAATCTGCATTCAAATTTTTCAATTTAACGTTGATCAAATTTTTGACCGATTTTCATGTTAGTTATTTCTAATTTTCTGATGACTCGTTTAACGTTGACCCAAAATTGGACTTTTAGAGCTCATAACTTTAGCAAATTTAATCCGATTCCAAAGTGGCATACCTCTAAAGGCTTGTGATTCGATCCTCTAAAAATCTGCATTCAAATTTTTCAATTTAACGTTGATCAAATTTTTGACCGATTTTCATGTTAGTTATTTCTAATTTTCCGATGACTTGTTTAACGTTGACCCAAAATTGGACTTCGAGAGTCCATAACTTTACCAAATTTAAGCCGATTTCAAAGTGGCATACCTCTAAAGACTTGTGATTCGATCCTCTAAAAATCTGCATTCAAATTTTTATACCCTTGCAGAGTATTATAATGTTGGTCAAAAGTGTGCAACGCAGTGAAGGAGACATCTCCGACCCTATAAAGTATAGATATTCTTGATCAGGATCGCGTCCTGAGTTGACTGAACGATTGGAAATGCCACAACTTTGGTTTAAAGTTAGGAAGTTGGGATTTTGTATGCATCATATGAATATTAATGGTGGTCGCATGTTAAAATGTCATACCTCGTTGAATTCGTGACCAAATTTTCCACAAAGTCCCATTTACAGGAAAAAAATATCGTTAAACAAATTTATCTTACTTATTAGTACTTTTTGATCAGCACCTAATATAAATCTTCGTTAGTGAGCCGGAAAACAAACAGGCTGATTCCTGGAAAACCTTATTGACAACACTAAAATACATCACAACATTATTATTATTAATAATTGAAAGAAAAATGATTTGTTAACCAGAACGGAAGTTAACTGCCAAGTCAAAGTTTTAAAAACAAGAAAATTAAATTCAATATGTATGTAACGACAGTTGCATACAAAAGTTTTAGTACTCTAGCATTAAAATTAGTAAATTGTAAGTATGTGTTTTGAGTTTTTTTATCATTGAACTAATAAAAAAAAATATCTAAGAAACCAGCCATTTTTCATAAAATAAAACGCAACAGTTTTGGTTCTTTTTAAAAGATTTCATTTTTTATTCACATAAAAAGAGATAACGAGCAGATAAATATTGTTTCTGTAGGGAGGATTCTAGACAAATTGTGGTTGTGTGGATTTTGAGTTATAATTTCGTCGATTGATACGTTTAAAAGGTCGCATACAAATATAAGGGAGTTTTCTTCAGGGTTTTCAGTTGTTTCTCGGTTCTGCACTTTGGGCAATAAGAACATCAAAAATACATTCATTTTATTCATTGTAAAGTTAGATATATGTGTGTATATATAGCATAAATAATGTATATTTAGGTGTATAACATTTAACACTAACAATTCTTAAGCGCGGGCTCTTCTCTCCCTCTCTTTCTTTTTCTTTCCGTCTCTCTCTATCTCTCTTGCACTTACTATCGCTATCTCTGTCGTTCATTGACTCGACTATAACATTTAATTTAATGAGGAATATGCAATCTCTGAGATTGTTTAACACATTTATCGACTCCATGAACATCTAGATTACGTATGTCAATCAAATTGTTTAAAAATGTACCAAGCTAATTTAAAAAAAAAAGACATTTATAGTTATAGGTTCTCAGTTAGTTTGATTCTTGGGAGTGGGCGAAATTCGTGGTTGGAATATTTGTAAATGTTTATAAATAGTTGGGCATAGGGCATACAAATGCAGAGTTCTCACGATCTTGATCTTTATTTGGGGCTGGCGTAACAAGTGTTCAAGTTCATTCAATCGTTAATCGGTATAATAATATTCTAAATCGTTATTTCTCGATGTGGTTTGGTTGTTTGTTTGTTCTTCCTTACGTTTTCAGTTTTGTTGTTTCTTATTTTTGTATAAATGGGGCTAGGATAACTCTGATATCTGGCTTACTATGCTACACATAATAACTATCAACATTAAGGGTATGCATAATAATAGCTATTTAATTATAATAATAGTAATAACGTTAGTTTCATCTTTATTTGTGTGTGTTTCTTCAATATAATTTAAAATAAAAATTATTAAACCATAAACAAAATAATAATTGCATTTTCTTTAAATCAAAAAAGTCTTTTGGAATTTCTCGCATATTCATTATATTCGTAGCTACACATACTATGTACTTTTTTCATAAATTACTAACTGTATAATCATAATTTCTTTTTGTGTTTTTTTGTTGTCCCAAAATTAATTAAGCTTAATTTTTAACGCCAGACAGTATAGTTAGGCTTTAATAAGAAAACATATCTTAAATTCCCAAACAAATATAAAAGAAGTTTACAATTCAGACTTCATTTTGAAAATTATGGTTTCCAGCTAAAAAAGTGTAATCAACATTTTTTTTGAAAGTTAGTTCTTTCTTCAATTTTGTATTTTTAAGGTTGATATTTGAATTCTTCATTTTCATTCTTCATTATCGGGAGTTCATTTATATTTTGTAGGTATATGGCAGTCATTATCATTCTTTTAACTTAACCTTTTGAGATAAGTTGATTATTTCATTTAAAAATCAATATTTAATAAGCAAAAAAAAAAAAAACAAAAAAATAAATGTAGGTATTCATATAAAGTATGGTTTATTCCTAAACGTAAATAAAGCTACAGCTACTAATGTGTGTGTGTGTTTATAGGTTTCATTCTCTTCTCCTGATTTTAATCCATACGCTTGGTCAAAAAGTTGGTCCACATTGAAACCTTTTATCCGTCTTATTGTTTGTGTTTTTGTGTGTGTTGTCTATATACTACATATACTTAAGACTAAGCCTGTGTAGGAGTGACATTTATTGTTATTAAAAAAAAACAAGTCCACGTAGTTTAATTTGTTGATTTAAAGCCGTTTAAACTGCAAAAAATGTAAGTAAATCAATTAGTGCTGACTGATTATTAAGTAATTACTTAACAAGTAGTGTCGATTGCTTAAAAAGAAACGATTTAATTAGGACCTGCAGGGAAAATGCACTCAAAGGTTACACCAAGCCTATTAATATCAGTAATAATGATTTGTTTTAAACATAAACTTTTTAGCCTTAACTAATCGTTTCTTCTGGCAAGTGAATTCAATGGTTTCACCATCCATCCACCGACACTTAATTGTAACTGTAGAACTCACGCTGATCGAAGGTGCTCGGATTGATGTAGCTGATCAAATCCTGATCCGACATCGAGGTCAGCTCCTGGGGAATGGGCGGCTGTACCGCCACGGCCGCCGCCGCAGCCACCGCTCCAACCGCCGCCGGGAGGATGCTGCCTGCAGTATTTGGGGCGGATGCCTGCTGCGTCATCACTGCTCCGTTGGTGGTCACCGCGGCGGTGGCCACCGACTTTTGCAGCGCATTCTCGCTGGCCAGCGCAACGATCAGAGATTCTTGTGGTGTCGGCGGCACCACCGGCAAGTGATGGCCATGATGGTGACTGTTCACATGGCCAGCCACGTGACCCGTGACGCGTCCGTGGCTGTGATTATGGCTGTGACCATGATGGCCATGGTGCGAGTGGTGGCTGTGGTTCATCGACTGGAAGTTGGCCGCTTCCACAGCCACTGCGGCAGCGGCTGCAGCCGCTGTTTCCGGTGTGCTTGAGTGGTTAAGCAGCAGGTTGACCAAGGGATCAGATGCCGTCTCGGCAGGATTGCCGCTAACGCCGACGGCTGCCTGCGGCGAGTGGGAGTGGACGCAACCATGGCGGTGATAGTGGTGCTGCTCCTGCTCCTGGGTGGTTATGAAGTCTGCCGCCGCCTTGATGATCATGTTGCTCACCGCCGTGGACGTGGCGGTGGCCGCCACCTCCGGCTGCATGGCCGCTGGAGTGGGTGGCAGTGTGTCCACCACCCCCACACCCGATGCCGCCGTCGGTGGACTCATCATGATGTTGCTTAATGCCAAGGCGGCCACCGCTGCGTCCTGCTGGGTGGGTTCCGCCTGCATGGCGATGTCGTTCAGTATCGAGTTAGCCATGGTCACCTGGTGGGGTGCCAGTATATTGGGCACCACAGCAGTGGCAGCTCCATTGGCAGAGCACAAAATCGTAGAGGGGGAAACGGCGGGATTCATGATGATATCGGTGGACAGGCCGCCGGTCACATCGACGGGGGCAGGGCCGCCCAAGGCAGCTGCTCCGGCCAGAGCTGCCGCCGGCTCCGAGTTGAGTATGATGTCCTGCGTCAGGGGAGAACTGTTCGGGGAACTCTCGCTGCCGCTCAGGGAACTGCTGGAGTTCGTGGAGCTCAGGGACAGGCTCCTCTCCAGCACCACATTGGGTGGTGCAATGCCCACCTTGGCCTGCAGAATATCGGTTAGGGCGTGGTCAATCACAGCCGAGGTGGTGAACAGGGCCGGTTCAGTGGTGCCATTGCTGGTGACTACCGAGGTGGATTTGGTCAGCTCATCAATGAATTTATGCACCTGCTGCTGCTGCTGTTGCTGTTGTTGCTGTTGCTGCTGCTGTTGGGGTTGTTGCTGCTGTTGCTGCTGCTGCTCCTGCATTTGTTCCTGCATCTGCTGATGCTGCTGCACCACATGCTTCACAATCTCATTCTTGACGGCCAATTCGACAGCCACCGCCACGGCTGCTGGATCGATATCCACGGCAGCGGCCACGGCGGCAGCTGTTGCCGGAGCCACAACGGCCGGGAAACCGGGCAGACTGTTGGACTGATCGTACATGATGGTGTCCAGGCTGGGTTTCCGCGCAAAGCGATGATACTGCATGGCGGCATTCGGGCTGTCCGGTGTGGACTCGCCGGTCAGGGGACTGTGCGAGTTGCTGTCGTCCAGGAGCTCGGTCTTCAGGGCCTCCGCACTGGCGGCCACCGCGCTGAGATGGACCATCTGCTGGTCCGTAATCATCGGTGTGACACTGGGCAGCGAGGAGCGACGAACGCCCATCGGTATCTGGGTGGTGATCGGCGGCGGCATCATGCCCGAATCGATCTCGTGCTTCGCCTCCACATTCTCGCCGGGACCTGCGCCCGGATTACCGCCACCGCTGGCCCCACTCCAGCCACTGGAGCCACTCGCGCTGGACGCTGCTGTGGTGTCCATGAAACCGCTCACATCTACAAGAGGAACAATGGACAGACAAGACGCCTCTTAGTAATCTCATTTTGGTGGGATGTCAAGCAAGAATCAGGGATCATTGGGTCATAAATCGAAATCATAAGAAACAAAGATGTAATATAGGACAGTCAGGGGATATTTAATTTTTTTTTTTTTTGTTTTTCTTTGGTCGGGTTGGGAAGCGCTTAGTCCTAGGCCAGGTTTCTGAGATATAGAGTCTGGGAGAAAGGGGTTCGCAGAGAGAGATCCGCCAAATCCGAGTGCCTTTCCCTTCTCTTTGGGTAACTACAACTTACAAACTAAAAACAAACTTAAACTGTATCGCAAGAAAAGCACTCGAATTCGTTGGATCTGCCATCTCCACGGGGCAGTGGTATCTAAAGCTAAATCTTAACGGCTAGTTATAACTAAATGGCTATTTAATTTTAGTTTCTTAAGAGTATTTATGCTTGGTTTTGTTGTGCCACTGGCAAATCCTTTCACACGGCATTCAGAAAAGGGAATACAGCAACAAGAGAGCTACGAAAGAGTTCTTCAAAGTATGCTTAAAACGTTTATTTTTTCAAAAATAACTGACTAAATCAAACCACACCAAGCTGACCAAATCAATTATAATAGCAATCATTGAACACACTACAAGTGACAAGACAAAACCGATCGAAAATAGATCAGACAGACTCTAGACAGCCATTAAATCACTCAATCAAAAATGTTCCTTGATCAATCACACATTTGAAGAAAAGTCAAGCAAAAGGTTACCGCTTTTAGACAAATTATCTCAGAACAACAGACGTTACGAAACTAACTAACCATTCAACTAATTCTCATCCAGCAATCACACAAAATCAACAATCATTCAACAGCAGTCGTAAAATTCAACAATCAATCTTCACTCAATCACACCAACACACTCCAAGCATTTTTATTTAATTCATAGACATATAATTTACTTCTAATATTTGAACTTAAGTACTACTGCTTATATTGTAGGTGTTTATGGATTAGTATTAGGAGCCAGAAAACCCAAATTTCAAAGATCCCAGTTCGCAATACTCGGTTCCTAAGCGGGGTCGCATTGATCTAAAGCTGTTGTCGTTCTCTAGGCGTAATGTTGAGGCTCTGAAGTCGAGCGATGCTTTAAATGCCACTCGTTCTAGACGAGTCCCATCACTACCACCTCTTATTTAGGGTCTTTCAGAACAAGTTCCCGCTTACAGTTCCTAATTCAAACAGCTTCATTTGATTAACTTGAGCTTCGTATTTTTTACTGGGGCCTGACACTGTCTATATGTATATTATGTTATGCATCCATAGAGCTTTAAGTCTTGGTGTTTCTTCGGTCTCCATACAGAGCTGAAAATTCTGTTCATGAATTGCGTGATAAGATAGTAGGGATCTTCAAAGAAAATGCAATGAATGTTATTGGATCAACAGAATGGCTATTAGAGATTATATTAAATGTAAAATAATCTACTTTTGTGATATTGAAATTTAGGACAAATAGTACAAAAGAAACTTTTGAAAAATATACACTTCAAACAACACGTCTATACAAAAATTTTTTAAGGAATTGGATAAGGCAATCATTAATATGGGCTGATGTAATTATGACTTTTATTAATGAACGATTCTAAAGAATTTATTAGACACCAATGAATGATTAGGGAAATTCCAAATTTTACATACTTATTTAAAAATCAAAGAATTCCAGAACTAATCTATCCAAATATACTAAACCCAGTTTTATGACAGTCTTCAATCATAAGGTCTCCATTGAGAGGACAGGACAAAATAAATCTTCAGATGGTGTTAGCCTTTATGTAAGTACGCAAATATATCGTATATATGCTTAAAGGTAATGCTCTAAGGTTAAAAGTGAAATGGGTTTCCCTTATAGTTAATAGTAATGGTAAATGTGTGTGTGTGGGGAGGTAAGGTATTGTGTGTGTATTAATTAATAGACATATAGAAAAATGGATTACGAAATGTCAGAAAAGAATTTGTACGTTGGTCAATCGGTAAATATTTTTGGTAATTTTTTCTGTAATAGTTGGATGGTTTTTGTGTTTTTTTTTTTTTTTTTTTTTTTTTAACCAGTACCCTAAAAGTATCCTTGATGCTGTAGTTGCTGTTGTTGGAGGTTAGAGATGGGGTTAGAGATGAGCAGATGTGGCTGTTGAAGACTCGATGGGGTCGAAAATCCGTCGCTGGTCATCATTTCCCATGGGGTTGGATAGGATATTGCTGCCTCGGTGCCAAAGGTCCTTTTTTATGGGTATTTCGATTTCGATTTCTGTGTGTCTGTGTGACGTGTGTGGGTGTATGAGTATCTATCGCCATCGAACGCAAGCGATTGGCCGTCACTTATCGAGCGATTGCTGCAATTCTTTCGATATCATCGCTTTTGTCCAGCGTTGCTTTCCAGGCAAGCTTTCTTTTCTTGGCTTTCTTTTCGTTGGCCTCTTTGCTATAGTGACGGTTTTATTTGTGTTTTGTATGTATCGAAAGATACAGGATATATCGGTGTCTATATACTTGCTATATCGACTGTCGATTAATGACTTAATTTGGATTTAATTTTGGCCTTGCATTTTATAGCACTCAAAAATTTACATATTTGACTATATAGTTAGATTGAGCACCTAAATTGCTAAGAGAAGGGGAAGGAGGAAGAATATAAAGTAAAAATATATATATGCATATTTTTTTGGGAGGAGGAGGAAGTTTTTTTTGTATGGTGGAGGGAGGGATTTTTTTTTCTTTAAGACATCCTGATCTTTGAAGGTAATTTATCATTTTCCTGACTTGAAAAACAGGTTTTTTTTATATGGGGGATCTGTTCTTCTTGTTTGGTTTATAGGTATATCCTCCTGATATTCTGCTGCTTCTGCTGCTGCTGATTCATCGTGTGCCGGTTAATGTTCGATTTCTTTTTATGTTATCGCTCTGGTTGAGCTCTCCTTCATCTGTTTTGGGTTTTTTTTTCTCGGCTGAACTTGATCAAGAAAACTCTGCACTTCATTCAAAGAATCCCCGGCACAAACACGCACGCAGGCAAACAAACAAACACACGCGCAAACACTCGACCAAACAAACAAGCAACAAACACAGGCACACACGTAAATTAAGCCAGAAGAAAAGTCCCCAGGAAAAGCGAAACTTTTATTTTGTTTACGTGTTAAAAAAGCAAGGAAAATCGGCTCAGGTTTGGATGGAAATGTTCTACACAGAAAATAATATTAAAATATAATCCAATGCGGATTGATGTGCCCTGCACATTCAAACAAAAAATACTATTCTTCTTCATCGCAAAGGATCCGTTTGTAGGGGAAATCAAGTTCATTCATTCAGCAGTGTTGTTTCGATCAGTTTCCGGTTCCGCTCGTTCTTTTTTCTTTCAGTGGACGGAGACAAAGAGAAAGGGGCAGAGAGAAATCGTGAGAGACGGGAGGTGGGGAAAGACTGGAGAATTTGATTCTCCGAAGATTTGCACCGTCCTGTGCCTTAATCATTTATGGTTATTAATTTAATTTAGGGTTTTTGTTTTATCATTCTTGGTTGTGCTTATATATTAAGTTATATTTTATGTTATACGATTCGTTGGATTTTATTTTCCTTGTTTCCTACTTAATATATATTATGGTATTGATTTTTTCATGCGTTATTCGGTGCAAAAGAAAGAGTAGTAGAAAGGATGAAAGGTAGAGGAATAAAATAGGTAGCAGGCAAATTACTCTTCTTAGTGGCCTATATATGAAATTTCAATCATTTAGTATATTTGATGACAAGACAATGAACCCGAGGGCTTTTAGTTATTTATCAGGTAAAATGTATGGAGAAAATGACAATATTCAGTTAGAGTAATCGATTGTATCTTAAACTAACTACTCTGGTTTATATTTGATACTTTAAATACAGTTTATACTGACTCTGAAAGTTAAGCATTCGAATTGAATAAAGTCACAGCCCTAGACATTTTTAATATTCTCGAATTTTACTTATTATCATTGAGGTCAAAAACATTGTTTTGTTAACTTTTCACACAGACTTGCTAATTGTTAAATTTAAAATACATTTAAATACTTAAAGCCAAAACGCAAACAAAAAGGAAGCAGAGGAAAAAAGACAGAAAGAAATAGAAGATACATAGAAGGGGAAAGAAGAGGAAAAGAACAGAATAACGCATGAAAATATCAGGTTGTTTTACCTATCGCTTATCGATTTATAAGTTTGTAACATTTATATTTTCTAACCATAAACGGTTCTATAGTTTAGCTAAATATTATTCGAATGTTGGAATTGAAAAAATAATAATTAAAGAAAAAATATCAATTTCAAGGTGTCGCTAGAGGTAGACTAATAACGGCATTAAACATACACTTTTATAACTGCCTAAGCCTGACTACCTCACATATGTATCTTATTCTCTTTTTTTTTTGTTTGGTAATTTTGACAAGAGTTTTGTCGATGTTTTCTTTCGGTTTTCTATACAGCTAACGATTCGCGATCTCCGGCTGGGAGTTTGTGGTTGGTAAATCGATTGGTAGGGTGCGTTCGAACGCTTAGTCAACAAATAGATACCTTGGGCGTGGATTGTGTTACTTAACGTGCTGGCCGCCGCCAGCGTCGTGTATTGTCCCTTGGGCGTGTAGGTGAACGTGTGTGGTTCGCTCTTCTTGCCGCTCGAGACGATCGACACCTGCACCTGGACCGGCTTCAGGACATTCTGGTGCAGATACGGCGGCACCGTGCAAATCAGATGGGTCTGCAAGGGCAAAGGCCAAGAGTTATTAATATAAAATCAAATCAATACTTAAAGCCACCAATAAAATGGAGTTGAGGAGATTTTGAGTTGAAGAAAATGTTTGTTTAGCAATAAGTTTTTAATCATCAATTCATTTAATACTTATAGAAGTAATAACTACGTTAGGCGATGAATAAAACCACAACTGCTTTAACTAATCTTCAGACCATTTTAAAGCTGGGTTTGTCACTCACCTGGTGGAGATACTCCTTGTCCGGCAGAACGCTCTGTTCCCAGAGGGCGGCGGTTCCGCCGATGAGCTGCTGACGCACCGCAATCTCGGTGGCCGGATCGTCGCCATTGACGCTGTCGTAGGTCTCCTGGAAAACTACATGCGTGTCCTTCAGGAAGTTCTTGCCGATGATGAATAGCTCGAGGCCGCCATCGACCGGGCACGAGTTCAATGATTTCTTGCATATCTCTGGAACACCAGGTGGTTGAGCTGAAACACGAAAATCATACCGATTAATTTAGGGAAATTCGTAAAGTAACAGGTGTGTAATACTCACTGCAGATGATGGGATTCGAGCAGACCTGGAGGGTCTCGGTGGTGCCATCGTCGCGGGTCAGCTGGGTGCGGAACACCATTCGGCAGCGGGTGGACTTCTTCTTGTTCTTTTGCGCGAGGTGCTCCGGAAAGCGGTGCTCCACATCCACATTGCGTTCCTGCGGGCGAATTGAAAATCATTTAGATTTAAGATTTAATTTTAGACTAAGTTCAGCTGTTTTCCTATATCAAAATCTCTTCTGTTTATTATACCCTTGCAGAGGGTATTATAATTTTGGTCAAAAGTGTGCAACGCAGTGAAGGAGACATCTCCGACCCTATAAAGTATATATATTCTAGATCAGGATCACCTCCTGAGTTGATATAGCCATGTCCGTCTGTCCGTCTGTCCGTCTGTCCGTCTGTCCGTCTGTCTGTCCGTCTGTCTGTCCGTCTGTCTGTCCGTCTGTCTGTTTCTACGCAAACTAGTCTCTCAGTTTTAAAGCTATCGAGTTCAAACTTTGCACACACCCTTCTTTCCTTTGCACGCAGTATATATGTCGGAACGGCCGGGATCGGCCGACTATATCCTATAGCTGCCATATAACTGATTGATCGGAAATGCCATAACTTTGGTGTTTGTAAAGTTAGGAAGCTGGGATTTTCTATGGGTTTTATATTTGGTTAATCAATCCGACCTACCAAATTTCATAAGGATCGGCCGACTATATCCTATAGCTGCCATTTAACTGAACGATTGGAAATGCCATAACTTTGGTGTTTTTAAAGTTAGGAAGTTGGGATTTTTTATGAGTATTAAGAATGCATCATATGAATAATTTTGGAGAATATAATGTACATAATATTCTGCAAGGGTATATCAACTTCGGCTCCGCCCGAAGTTAGCTTTCCTTTCTTGTTTTTTTATTTTATTTGATGTTTCTATTAAACTTTTCTTGCTTTCACAAGCTATATTTTTCACAGTTTAATTGCGAATTTAGCCATGTACATGTAACTTTTATTCTTATCCGCACAATAAGGCCGAGCTTAAGTATTCAGCAATGTACCGTCGTTTCAACTCTAATTTAGCATACCATAGACAATGTAAACAAAATAACCGATTATGTCAACAAGATCAACTTTATAAAAATTAAACAATAATGTTGTATCAATGTGATTAGGTTTTGGTTCCTTCTAATGGAGACTTCTCTGCCATTTAGTTTTCCAACTCACCTTCAAGATGCCAACGCAATCGCAGGTGATGGTCATGTCGGTTTCGGGCTTGAAATCGATCTCGATGACCATGGTCCCGTCGACCTTCTTCTCATTGCACTGCGTCGAGTTTTTGCCGGCGACCTTGCAGGCCTGGTAGAACATGTGCGGCGCCACGCGGCCAATGTCCGTGCCGATGAAGACCTGGAGTACGGCGCCCTTGTCGTAGCCGGCCAGTCGGACGATGGGGAATCCGTTGCCACTGCGATCCTTGACGGCTCCGCGACTGCCCTCCGTCTGGTAGCGAGCCCGATGCTGCTGCTCCGGCTGCGAGACGATCTCCAGCTGCACCTGGCCATCGTTGGAGCTGGCGATACTGTTCAGCGGGGTGGTGGGCTGGCGTTTGTTGGCTACCCGGGTAACAGTCCTGGCCGAGATGAATCTGCGGGGTTGAAAAGAGAGAAAACCGAAATGTTTTAGTCTTTTTTAGTCATTGGCACAACTTTTCCATTCGATCGTTAAAGATCGAACGTTGGTTTTGGTTTATTTGTCTAAGGATCGTTAAAAGTCTGGCACTTGAACTTTGGCCGATGTCCGTTTGAAGAAATCTATATTCAATTTGGTTTGGGTTAATGATTTATGGTTTATTTTTCACATGTGCTGGCCAAAATATGGGATGCTGGGGCATGGGATGAGATGAGTTCTTTTTTAGATACAAAGATACTGGCTACAAAGCTACGGATACAGATACGGATTTAGTTAAATATGTAGAGCTAAAAAATGAATGATATATGACTTTGCTGTTAATTACACACAAACATACACACCCGCACATGGAATATAAAAAAGCCGAAAAGGAATTTTTTCTCAATTTTCATTGCTGCACTTTGCATTTGGTTCGGTTCCCTTTTTGTTTAAATAAATCTTAGCTTTGACCAATTGTTTACAATTGCTTCAAATTTTTTCGCTTTGTTTACAAACGGACACATACGCACATATATATACATATATAAATAAAAAAAACACAGATAGACGGGAACAAACACACATTGAGCAATTATTAAGGAACAAAAGTCAAAGCCATCAAAGTAAACATTCTGCGAATAACAAACACTTTTCGGCTACAGTGTGCGAAGAGTTAATTATTCTGTCACCGGAATAATTTATTTGGTTTCCTTCGTTTAATTTTGGAATGTAAACTAGTTATTTTGAATTCTAAAAACATTGTCAACACATTGTTGATTCACTAAAATATGTTTGGTCCAATTTTCCTGGTTTTTTTGTAAGCACATAAATAACAATTTTGATAGGTATCATTTTTTTAACTTTTACTTTTTTTTCGACAACTTTAGCTGCCTCTTTGTTAAAACAATCTTATTTGCCAAAATTTGTTGGATATAATTAAATGCTTTTCTAGCCTTTTTATGTTAGTTTATATTTATTTTAAAATGTTTTGCAGAGCATTTTATCGGCTTGTATGTTTTTTTTTATTTTTATTGCTATAATTTGATCGGAATTTCATTTTCATTTTGTTTTACCGATGTTATTTAGTCATATCTATGGAAAAAATATTGTATTTGCCTAGTGCGCCCCTTTTTTTTGTACCAATATTATGTGGTCCACAGACACAGTTTCGATCCAAGAATTTAATTTAGTCATTGAACATTTACCAGAGAAACTGTCTAGATATTTTTGTGGCAAACTCTGTTTTCTTTTTAGCTGCAAAAGAAAACACGTTGCTTACTTTGTCTCGTTGTTGTTGCTGTTGTTGTTGCTGTTGCTGCTGCTGATGCGCGGCAGGAGGCTGACAGTGGGCATGGCAGCCGCAGGGGCGGCGACAGGAGGGGGCGTGGCATCCACAGTGGATGCGACACCCACAGAACTGGCAATCTTACGTATGAACTCATCCTCGCTGCAGGCATCATCGTTGTCCAGTTCCACCTGATTGCATTCGAGCTTCTTGCGTTTGATGTGCTTGCCATGACGATGATGATTGTAGTGTTGCTGCTGTTGCTGTTGCTGTTGCTGCAACAGCAATCCATTGTACTGAAACTGTTGCTGCTGGGTCTGTTGATGTTGCTGCTGCACCTGATGCTGCTGTTGCGCCTGTTGCTGCTGCTGTTGCAGGGTGAATGCATTTACGGCTGCTGCCACGGCTGCTTCGGTGGCATGGAAAACCCCACCAAATGGATCCGAGTTGCTATTTCCACCGGCTGTCGTCAAACTGCTGTCATTCACAAAGCCCGTGTCCTCGTCCAAACTGGTCGGCGTCGAGGTGGCCGAGTCCTCGGAGGAGGACGCCGATATCAGATCCAGATCCTCCAGATAGTGGCTCATGGCGTGCCGCGATCTATACGTTAACATATATACAGACATTCATGTACATGGGATACATTTAAATACATTAAGTATTTAAATCGATTTATGGATCGCTTTCCGTCGTCAAATTTCGGAATTAAGTAATTTAAGACTGTATAAATAAAGCTTTAAATATGTAGCACCTCACTATATTTAAATCGTTTTTTTTTTAATATTTTCTACTGTTTTGAAATTCGAACAAAGAATTCAGCATAATTGTGCACTGGTTTGAATTTTAAAAAGAGGGTTTTCAAATTCTTGCATTAACATCTATATATTTAATGGATTGAAAAACAATGGCTCTAATGGTTTAACTGGTTATTTTGCAAATACAATTGTATTTTAAAAAAAGTTAGCTTGACATAAAGTTTAGCCTTAGATTGAAAAATATGTAGAAATCAAATTCAGATACGCCAATCAATGTCCGAATGCATTTAGAATGCATTGAATAAACCTAAATCGACAATCAACAAATACAAATAAACTGAATATAACTGACCGGATCTGAACGGAACTAACGGCCTGAACTCAATCGAGGGCTGACTTTGATTTAAGTCGGCGGGAAAAGTCAAGAGAACATCATGGTTGAATGTTGCAAAATCAAAGAAAATCACTTCGGATGACAAATCAAGATTTTTTTCTACTTTAATTTAACTAAAATTGTAGTACATCCATAGTTTAGATCAATACATTTTTTCCAACTGGTACAAACTAGGTTCAATTAGACAAAAGCAAGCCACAATTAAAACAAATCAACGATTTGTTGGCATTCAATCAAATAGAACTAGTTCTTTGTCGATAGAATCTGTTTCTTTCCCTTTTTTTCTGGTTTTCAGTTAAGTTTACTAAATGTATGTTGTTTTAAGCTACTCATAGGAAGTTACTAAGAGATTGTGAAACTAGTGCGCCTATTAGCTAATAAAACTGATAGAGTCGCATGCCATAATGCTCCCTGCATCCATAATGGTATTCGTAATCTCTCCCAGATACTGCGCTTCAATCCTAGCCCAAATCAGGCGAATAAAGCACTGAGAGTGCAGCTGATTGATAATAAGCGGAGCAAAGCAAAGCAAAACACGAATCACAAGGCGGACGCTGCACGACGGCAACAGTGCGTATAAGTAATCGCATCCACTGACTAACAGACGCATGAAAAAACACTCCCCATCAAAAAGTCATTGGCCAAAGTGCGAAAGAGACGCAGAGCGCGAAAGAAAAATGCGTATTTTCATGTATGCAAATTAAATTAACCGCCAAAGAATGTGCAAATCTGCAAGATCAACAAACAAAACAGAGGCAAAAACCGTAGAGAGAAAAAATCAACAATGGAATGTTCTGGCAAACAAATTTTTTTAAATATTAAGAATATTATTTTTCATTTGGAAATGCATTGGGAATTCTAATTGATAACATCATGATGTAAAATTATCTTTAAAATTCAATTCTTAGTTTTCTGGAGCAAAAGGAATATTTTTAGAATAATTATTGAAAACATTTTGTGAAACGCAAACCGAAAAGTGTTTTGCTAAATTTAAAATGCTACACATAATGAGAATAATTTACTGATTAAAAATAGCTAGAAATGCAGTTGACAAGCTTATTTAGAAAGCCATAAATATGTAAGGCTATTGATTGTTTTTTAAATGATCGACACAAATAAAAAGCACTTAACCATTGACCGATTTCTTCTGCAATTAACGAAAGCCCTAAACTATCCTCATAAAAATCACAACACTTCCATTGTTTTCCCTTTACTTTTTTCTCAGAGATAAGGGGCAACCCCAAAAGTCAAGCACCTTCTGAATTCACCTCCCCCTCCCCCTGCTTTTTTTTCATTTTCAGATTCCCAACTGCAATTTGCAATTGGAGGAGGGTTCGAAAAACTGATAAGCTGATAAGATAATGCGGCGATTTACACAGATAGGGGCATGCAATTACAATAGCTACAGCTACAAAACCACAACAACAAAGGCGAAATAAACAACGAACGCACACACACACACACACACAACAGCACAAACAACAACAACAACATAATGAGCCCGCAGACCCAGAGAAAACCATATGAAAATTTAAATCTTAATCTGTATCGAATGAAACTGAACATATTCACCATGACCTACAAAGAAAACCTGTCTAAAAAAAAAGTGTCTATGACCAACGTTAAAAATATGAGAGCATATTTATGTGAACTGTTGCTAAAGGATTTTCGTTGGATTTTAGAAATCCTTTTTATTAAAGCATTGCCATTATTAGCCACAAACTTTATTGTTTAAACTACCCAAGTACTATTGCTTACATTTTTGTTTATCAATCACAAAGTTCTTGAAAGTCAGTTACAAATGATACACTTTTGTTTGGTGCACTATAAATTTTCATATTTTCCTCAAAGACCACACAAATAAACGCGTTCCTACCGATGCAAAAGACTGGACTATACTGAGGAAACTTAATAGAGCCAACATCTGCGGAATTTTAAAGAAGCCTTAGCCCCGCCTTTTGTAAAGGGGGTTTCAGCTATTTGAGCCTGATCATTCATAAAATATAAACAGTTCAAAGACAAGGCGTTTTCTTTCAGTCCAATAAACAAATGAAATGACTGCAAATAAATGCGGCGAGCTAACCAGTAGTATCCAAAAGTGAACTTGAGTTTGTGGGAATGTATGATCTTTCTGTAAATATTTAACCTACGAGTATATACAACTTCACTCTTTATTAGGTTATAAAAAAATTCCCCTGGTGTTTTTATTGACTTATAATCATTCTTATAAATCTACATTTAAAAATTATATCACCAAAACCTACTAAAATATCTTTAAACCCAACGGAATATTATCACCACTTATTATTTACGGACAAACGGACAACTTTTTCAAGTATTTTAAAAAGAACTATAAGCACAAATCCTTACTAACGAAAATAAATTTATATAAATAATCAAAATATTTGAAAGATTCAGAAATATTTCTTTTATATATTTGAATTCTGTCGAATTCTGAATAGATCTTCTATATGTGTGCGTGCAAGTGTAAGTTTGTGCATCAGAGTGTGGGTGTTTTTGCGGTGAGGCAATCAATATTCATTCACTCGAAACCATGAATCAAACGCAAAACGAAATGAAATCATGAGCTGGCAATTATCTCGAGTCGCGCCTGCGCATGAACCCAGATGAAGATTTTGAGGCTGAGAGGGGTATATACATATACATGTATCTAAATGGCTGGATAGCGAGGCAAAGAGTGACAGTGACTCACCTTGATACAGGTATCGCTCGTATTAAATGCTGCTGCGGTGAATGTTGCTGCTGTTGTTGTTGTTGCTGCTGCTGTTGTTGCTGCTGCTGTTGTTGCTGTTGCTGCTGCTGTTGTTGCTGCTGCTGTTGCTGCTGGTGGTGCTGTTGATGCTGCTGCAACGTGCTGCTAGCCACTGCAGCAGCTGCTGCGGCTGCTGCAGCAGCCACTGTGTTGGTAAGAGCACTATTGACCAGCATACTGGACCGCTGGCCGGAGTTGCTGCCGTTGGCCGCCGGATCAGCCGATCCCCCCGCTCCTCCTCCTCCCGAGGACCTCATCTCCGTGTGCTGATCGAATCCCAGGCCACTGTCGTTCGAATTGTCACAGGGCGGCGGATGGGGTCGCTGTGGTATTCGCTTCCCGGGAACGATCTTTCCAGGACCCGTCTGCAAAAATGTCACGGAATATAAGCCACCAATATAATAGACTAACAAATGGGTTTTAATCCCAACTTTACAAAAAAAAAAGGAATGGTTCCGAAGATTACAAATTGTATTCTACAAAACACTTTCATTTAAATAAATAATCTTCCTAACTTTCAATTAAAATATAATAGACTAACAAATAGCTTTTCAGTCCAACTATTTAAAAAGGAATGGTTCCTAAGATTACAAATTATATACTACAAAATACTTTTATTTAAGTAAATAAATTAGCTAACTTTTCAGTTATGTGATTAAATATGGGATATTCTAATGAGCCAGTTAAGATTTTACAAGTATTGTCAAACATTCCTCTTTCATATTTTCCCCACATATATATTTTATATTATTTGCCTTATATTTAAATCGTTTTTAATCATTAACTCACCCTGGAGATGGTATGCAGCTTACCGGGCAATCCTTTACCCGGCTGTCTTTTCGAAGGTATGCGAAATCCCTTCCGATGTATTCGCGCACTCATTGTGGAATTGGTGGACATGGTCATCCTCATGCCTAAAAGAAAAAGTGGGGAAATCGTGGTTAAATTAGGATCAATTCATTGTCTATTAACATGTATCATCAAAATTATTGAATAAACTTATATAAATATTTATTTCCAAACGATAGTGCTATTAGAACCAATTCTAATATAGTTTTCCTAGAAAATCGCCTCATTTGATGTTCCTATATAGCGCCAATGGTACTTGCTTCATTGAAACACAAAAGAGGAAAAATCCAGATAAAGACGAGCCGAGAAAACATTGTCTGATTTGTGGTCCCCGTTCGCAAGTTGCAAGTTATATGCCAGGGAAACTGATAATGCTGCGACGCCTAGCCAATGGGGTGCATTGAACTCCGCCGGAGAGTACGAACCCCGGAGACCTAAGGTCCGTACGTATATGTATAGTCAGTCAGTCAGGAGCATAGAATCTGTTGCAGCTGCAGTTCCAGTTCCAGCTGTTCTTGTGACAATGATGATGGTGATGCTACTGTTGCATTCATTGTTGATCTCAATTGAAGCTCAATTTCCATTTGCATTCGCATTTCCATTTCAATTTCAACAGCAGTTGCCGTCGCCTTTTTTTGCTCTACATGGAGTTCTAGCCTGCGAGTACTTCTGTATATGTACTTTCATACATACATATGTATATCATCTGGCTGGGTGCTGTTTGTGTATTATCATGGACAGCGGAACAATGAGCCGGAGTGCGCTGATAAGGAAGCCAGACAAACCCAACCAAACCAAACCAAACGGACCCAACCCAACCCATTAACAAGCCGCGACTCCGGTCCACTCCCCTGCTGCACTGCCTCCCTGCCCCGTTTTATTTCTTTATTATTACCCCGTATTCGATCGTATATTTGGCTTGCGCTTCTTTAATTATTCATAAAAAAAAAAAATGAAACAAAAAAGAACGCCTGCCTCTACTTGTTTATTTCGCAGAACATTTAATTAAAATGCAAATCAATTGCAAATATAAAATTAGATAATTTCATAAGGGGGCGCTGGCGAACGGGACACGACTTGGGCTATATCTCTATATAGGGGCGGGCGATCTGGGGGCTAAATAATATGTCTGTTGGGATAGGCCAATGTGTGGGCAAAATAAAGGAAAAACGGAACGATAAGAAGCCAGATTTTAGGCAAAGCCACTTAAGTTTCAATTGTATCTGCAAGAAGGCCTATTGTAGTTTAAGAATGTGGCTAATTTTCGGTAGTTTAAATAATTACTAAGTTATATTTACAAAATATACATATAGATGAATTTGACTATGTCACAGCCAGTTGTATCGTGTCATGACATGTTCACTACAAAACACATAGTTTTACGATACATGTTTGGTTATAAATTATATGACCTCATCAAAACATGACCGTTCCTACAAACCAATAAAGGTTGTTTTGTAATGAAACACCATAAAAGCTTAAAGAAAGACAAAAAGTATAAGGTATTTCAATAAAATTTAGTGTGAAATGTAATAAAGGTTGTTAAATAAAAACCATATTTCCAACAAACCCTCATAACTATTTATTTACAAATAATTGAAAGCCCACTTTCTGAAATCCATTTAATTCCAGAGAAATCTCCTATAAATGCATGTTCCGTTCCTTAATTCCGGTAACATCGCTATACAATTACGGGCTAATTTACGAGATAAGAATCGAGCAAACAATAGCGCCTTTGATAGCAGCAACGAAAGCAAACAAACTTTGATCTCAAATTACGATGATCCCTCGGTGACGTGCGTTGCGCTCAAAAAAATAAAAAGAATATAGATATACAAATTAGGGAGGTGAGAAAATCTGTTCGACTCTTGGCTTTTATGATACCATAAGTACAAAAACACCCACGCGATCCGCACCCTTTTGGCCTAACCTTGGGTGGAAATCAAACAAACAAACATTTATTGTTGGGCTTGCGGAACGCGCCTACCTGAAGAACCCAAAGAAACGGAACCCGGGAAATGGGCTTTACCTGTGATCGCTACAGATAAGAACGGACTGGATCGGGAGGAGGGATATGGGAGATGGGGATACGGCTTTTGTTTCCAAGGGGCTAAACTGCCATCTCATGCCGCAGATACAGATACAGATACAGATACTACAGATAGATGGATACGTTAACGATACGACAATCACTCCTAAGGCCATTGTCGCTTTCATCTGCGTATCATCTATCATCATGATGATCTACTAGACGTTGCACTCAATTGGCAAACAAAAAGCGGGCTTTAATTCAATTTTCACTGGAGATCAGGGCGAGGTTGGAGTAACGAATCCCCTGGATAAACACAGATTAAACACAGATGTTGTGCTGTCGGGCTTTGTGAGTTCTATAATTAAGCGCAGACTTCTCGGGCAAAATAACAGCTTCGGAGAGGTGAACCCCAAACAGATTGTCAATAAAACAATTGCGAGGTAAATTAAGTGTATTGAACCTGCCTGACCCACTGTGCCTGCCCCACCTTCCACTGCAGTGAAAGATGAGCCCCCTCTCCTCTCCGCAATAACGGAAATGAAAAGAGGAGTCTGGTCAATTTGTCTGATTGAAAAGCACTACACTCTAGAATTAGGAAAAGTGCAACTTTTCACTCAGCTCAACGATTATTTTCGTATCTCTAGAACCTTTTAACAAGCGGAAAGAAGGAAATATGTTTTAATTCATTAAATAGGAGTATACGCTTTTACACTTTTGATTTAAAGAAAACTTGTTTTCTAACTTGGAAATACTTTGCAATTGATTGGTCTTTTGGAATCTATTTGAATAAAGTATATACATTAATATACAACCATTATTTTACCTAGATTTACATATATTGACATACTGAAATCAAAATACGAAATGAAACAGCAATATTTACATAGTTTGTAGGATTGCTACAAATATTATAGTTTTTTTAAACACCATTTAACATCTATAACTGTAATTTGCATGGCTCAAAATATTTATTACTTAATAAACCAGTTCTGGCTTTAAAATTTAAAGTTATTTTACATTTCTAGGACAAGCACTTCTTCTCCTCGCTGATCTCATTTGTCACCATCCAATTAGCGGATTGGTCAAGTGTTTCGGTGTTTGATTGGATGGCTCGAGCCTCTTGGCTTTATTTTTACTGTTTCTGCTGTAATCTTATCGCCTCGCCAAACTTGGCAACTGGCGAAAACAAGAACCCGAACCTGATATGGTGAAAGGAATTGAATCACCAGCGACAACTGGCGCCTCTCGCGTAATTCGAGATTGGGGAGCTCGACATTTCTGGTTGGATCTTCAAGGCGAGGAAATTCCAGGTGTACTCGAATAACTCCCATATCGATTATGACATGTTATCAAAGGCGCAGTGAGAGATTTGTTTTCAAAGGAATTACGGCATGTTGCCGATAAGACAGCCATTAGCATTGGATGTTGGGATAGTACAGTGTCTAGATTTTCATGCTCTGGTTTAAATATTTATAAAGCCAATAAGGGAACAAATTGGCAAATAACTCTACGTCATGTTAGCAGCTGACATTCCAATAAAGTCTTTAAAAAACAATTCTAGATATCACAGCCAGCTTATATTTTGTGGTACTAAAGCGTAAATAGCATATCTTTATGGGAGATCTATAAAATTGAAAGCACTACGGAACTTTGGGGCAAATATCAAATTCTGCGAAAGTGAATATTACTTAATTATTACAAAGAATTCCGTACTTTTTAAAATTATGAAGAAATAAACCCTTTGATACGTTTTTGATGTTCCCAAAATAATTTTTTGTTAAGGTTTAAGATTATAAAACATTTAAAAGTATATTTTTTCTTTTATTTCCCAAGTTACACGTACCAACTTTTCTTTTAAACAATCAATATTTTTACCATCAGTTACGTAAATAGATTAAATTTAAAGAAACTTTTAATTTATTTCTTATCTTTATTATTTTAACACGTCCTTACCGAAATTGCTTTTGTAATGATGCTGATAGGCTTGGAAATTTGTGTTGTTGTTTCCGCCATTATTGTTGTTGTTGTGGTGGGCATAATGATGGCTGTTGTTATTCATATTGTTGTTGTTGTTGCCACCCCCAGAATTATTATTATTGTTATTATGATGGTTCAAATTATGCATTTTGGATGGAATCCGATAACCGGACTCGTAATGTTTATACTGATTGTAGGTGAAGCGCATTTTGATTTTGGTTTTGCACTGGACTTTCGATTAAGTTACTTTTATGGCTATTTAATGCAATTAATTGTAGTTCTCTCAGTGTTTTTTTTCACTCTTTCTACTCTCTCCTAGAGTTTCTCGTTCTCTTTTTGGGATAAGTGCTTTTATTGTATTTTATAATTATGTTTACAGGCATCGATTTTGTTGTTTTTGTTTTGACTAATAGTGTTTTTTGTAGTTGATTTTTTAGTAACTATGGTTGGCACATTAAATGGTTTTTTTTTTAATTTAGTTTTTTAAAATTTTGGATTTTCTTTGTACATTTGTTTGTTGTTGCTTTTGTTTGCTGTTATATATTTTCAGCAGTTAAAGATTTGTATTTATCTGCCAGATTTTCGAATGGAAAGAAAGAAAACTTATTATAGCGTATGTATACTACGCGGGAAAAAAGCGATACCAATAACTGGAAACACTTTTAAGTAGCTCTAACGAAATTCGTTTTATGAAAAAGTCCCGCCCAACGTTTATCAAATTTTAAAACGCATAGAAAACGTTTGTAAAACGAACTTAAAACACTTGGAAAACAGGTTAAAAAATGCGTTGTTTCGTTTTGTTTTGTTTCGGCACTTCGCCTTTTTCGCTCGTTTATTCATTTATTCATATGACCGTTGGGTTTTTTTTTTATTTTTTACAGCTCGATGCCGAAAACTGAAACCGAACGATGTAAAAGTGTTGTTTTTTATACACATCTTCTTTAATCGCCGACGCGGTTCAAAGTCCAAGCGACAAGAGAAGGCAGAAATAAGGAGATCGCAATGGTTTAATGATCATTTTGTTGTATATAGATAATGATTATGATAATCGAGAGAGAAGCTGGGGCCTTAAGTGCATTATTTTTCCCTTCCCCAAAACTGGTTACATTGTCCATCCAAGGCGCCTAAAAAAAGTTAAGTTTGTTTCTTTTTTTCGATCCTTTGACAACTTCCTGGTTTCTCCCTTTTTTTTTTTGCTATATTATCTGCTCATTTACAGTTAGAGTTCGAAATCGGAAAACGGGTTCTACCAGGTCTCGGGATTCTTTCCTGTTCTACTTGTTTGGGATCCCTTTTACTTTTTGGGGAGCAATGTAAAGCCCTTTTGAGTGGCAAGTTCCGCAAGGTCTTAAGGAATTCCACGCTCCAATCCGCTTCATAACACTAAGATTCATTCAACCGTTCGGAATCAGAATTTACACTCGGAAAAATAAACTTGTAGCCTTGTTTTTAATAAACAAAAGGCTTTCATGTTTCGATTTTAAAATGGTTTAGTCTTAAGGACGGTTGAAAGAAAAACTAAGAAAAAACCCTATTTATTTAAAATCAATAAAGAAAATCTAACAAAAAGCACTTTTAAGCACCTGTTTAATGTTTGCATACATATATTCTCATTGAGTTTACATACTAAATATTTCTTTTATAAAGTTATTGACATTATAAAAAACTATAGGACAAAACATATAACTACTAATATACTATCATTACACATTTTTTTCCAATTCCAATTTCCGAAATTTCCCAAACATTTTCACAGTGCGTTTGATTTCGTTGTGTACGACTATAACTGCTAATCGAGGTGACACAGATAAGTGTGTTAGCACCGACCGACCCCGCCCCCTTCTTCTGGTCCGCCTCTCGACCATAACTACATTGGCCTCTGGTTTCGGCATGGATTGGTCTTTATATTTTTTTTTTTGACAATCAAATGCCAAGGCAAGTTCTTGGCTTGATTAAATGCTAATTGTACGGTGTATTTATCAGCAATCGGTTTTATATGTATATATACTGCGTGTACTGCGTTGTAATGTGTGTAGCAACTGCCGTTGGGTTTTGTGAAAAATCATGATCTTGTTTCATTGACCCACATTGAACGTGTAATGAACGAGTCTGAAGTGAGCAGAACTAAGCTGATCTTATCTGATCTGCGCTACTCAGATTATTATACGTTTTCAACTTTCGAGCAGGAAGCGAAAGGTAATCGGGAAACCTGAGAATAGGTTTTGGAAGTTAAGAAACTATTGCATTTAGTTCGACTTTGATAAATATTATTAAAGTACTTGTCAAAAAAGAATCAGCACTATCAAAAAATTCAATTTTTTAAATTGAAAGTTAACCAGAAAATTTTATTCTAAAAATGCTACACATAATAATAAATTAATATAATCAAAATTAAAAAAAGACTTGACTTTGATATGAAGTTTAAAAGTAGTTGATAAAACGTAAAATAAAATGTAAAATCAATAAAATGGAAAAACAAGAATGGAACTATTTAATATTATTCTCATAATCCAAAATTTAATAAAATTTTTAAACAGATCACCTGAGGAAAAACTCTTGAACAGAACATACTCAATTAACTAAATCAAAGAATTCATATTTATGTCTGCTCTCGAATCACTTGATTCACCAATTTGTTCAATCAGTTATCATAATCATTTCTTCAATTAATTTTCTTTTATTTCTTATGTTCTTGTTTTGGTTATGTTATTGGCCGCATTTTAATTTGTTATAAACAAAAGTTTTTACGCGATTTTTGGATTGCGGGAACTCACAAACAGAAAGTTTATTAAATGTATATATAATTGTGTTGTATTTAAATTAGTTTTTTTTGGCGTTTGGGAGATTCTGGCCGGTTCCGGTTGCCTTTGTTGTGGTCTGTGGGTCTGGGGTTTTGCGACTGGAAGTGCCTTATGCACAGGGACTATCCGTAGAATTCTACCCATCGGACTTAAAGTCGATAAGATAAACCGCGCGCGACTGAGAAAAGTTACTTTGGTCTCCCTCAAAAAAAAATGACAGTACTCATAGTTTTAATAAAGATGTCTTGTGAACAAATTGGAATTATAGACTTTAATTAAGTCAATCGAACTATAAATTTCATAAGTTTTTACTTAATAGAATCCTTTTCGTTTTCATAAGATATACCCCTCGAACTAAAGTGGGGTATTAAGAATAAATTTTATAATTGCGTCTAACGCCAAATAACAAAAATTGTCTTTTTATGAAACACATTATCTAAGCTTCGTTTGTTCGATTTGCGGTGAATGTTTTATTATTTTTTAATTCTCCAGTTTTTTGTTTTTTTCAGTTATGCGATCAGGCCACAATTTTTCGGCTGATAAAAAATAGGCGCACAAGTTTTAACTTTTCAAATAATAAACATTAATTGAGCACATCACACCAGAAAAAAAAGCGGGCAGGAGTGAAAAGTGCGAAATTTTAGCACGAGTTCGGTATAGTACCGTAATTGTAAGCCTTAGACCGTAGCCCGTAAGTCCCGAATCGCAAATCCGTAAATTGTTAAACGGAAACCGTAAACCGTGAACCGTAATCGGAGAGCGGCGGCGAAATGGTGATGCGAACACTTACGCTGAGATCGATGGACTGCGGCGGAAAAAGGTGGGCGCACTATATAACTTTAGCGCAGACTCGAACCTCAACCCAGCGACCCGGAGAATTCTCTCTCCAAATGTCCGGCGAAAAGAACGAGTGATGCTGAGCGGAGAGAGCCGCCGGAGCAGAAGCAACAACAAGTGTACGCGTGGCCGAATGACGACGACGACGACAACGGGTTTAATTGATTTCCATGTGTGTGTGAGCACAGCGCGCGCCCCGTTTCTATTTGTTGTTGGACTTGTCGGCACTGATTGCAAACGCAAATTGATAAAGCAACCACAAAGAGAGCGAGAGAAAGAAAGAGGGTGGGTGAGAAATTTAAATCAATATCAGTATCAAAATGAAAATCAAAAGATCGCTCTGCAGTGCAGGTTGCAGGTTATTTCATCTCTTTTCGCTCTTTATGCTATGCTCCAGCCGCCGGTGCGTATGCGCATTGCATTAGGGTGACCCTTTTTCCGTTGTTAAGGAGGTCGAAATATAAACCTATTTCCAAAACGATACCGTATTTTTTTATTTCAATACATATTTATAAAAATGATATTTTAATAATCGAATATTTAATGTGTAAAGTTTTCTTAGCAAGCACATTGTTATAAAAAAAACTTGTTAAAACTTGCTTAACAAATGATACCGCACCGTATGATTAATTTTTTGTTGTCTTTTGAAAAAACACATTTTACTTTTACCTAGAGCGGACCACCATCCCAAAGTGTGTATTTTCTTGTTTAGCTGCGATGCGTGGCTGTTAATTAACACACGTTCGCTTTGCGGTCAATTGCAGACAGTCAGGGCCACTCTACAGAACGGCATGCCAACAAAAGTTCGCACATACAAATGCCTATAAGTTGACAAACGAATACTAGCGATTGTACACGAAGAAAAAATTAATCCACTTTGCATCTCAGATAATGTTTACAATTGTCATTTTGTTTAAAAAAATAATAGGATTTTTTTATGTTATTCCAACAATACATTTTACTATATATAAAATGTAAGTACATTTGTTTTTATATTATCATTTCTGCGAATATATTTATTACTTAAAAAAGCCAAAGCTAATAAGCAAGATTTGTTTTTTTTAGTGCATCGGTGTCAGCATTTGGCTTGGGCGCGAAAAACTATTTGGCAAGTGTGACCAAAAAGGCAATTTTAGCACCAAGATATTTGAGTTAATTTACGGGTAATTTGATATCATCATGTTTATTTGGTTGTTATTAATAAAAAAGAAAAGAAGTCCCCAATTTTTCCAAACATATTCCCTTAAATGTCTTGAAAAATCAGGCCTAAAACGCTATTAAAATCTGTGTGCAGCCATAACGGTGCATTTTTTTTTAAATTCATTTGCCCCAAATTTGGTCACACCAGCGTCACGCGTAAGGAGTGAAGAGCGGTGGGGTGGTGGTTTGGCCCCACATGTCAAGTGGCTTATTTGAGTGGACAGCTGTAAAGAGAGCGCTCTCTTTTTCCAAAACCCGAATGTATGCAAGCTACTCACGAAGCGAAACGACTAGCGATCGTGGCAACAAAAATAAAAGCAACAGCAATGGCGTTAATTTCGTATTGGTTACCGATGGCGCACGGTGGGTCACATATATTTTAAAATAAATCAATATAATACAATAAATGGTTAGACTAAAATATATTTTCACAAATCATAGTACATATCATAGAATGTTTCTTAATCATAAGATCGTTGTTAAAGTCTAACACTATGGTTTCATTATAATTTCATTAGCTAATCACCAAACTTAAATATTGTAACATTTATTGATATATTCTAATTTATTTTTGGTATTACAAAAAAAAACAAAATATAATAATTTTTTGTTTCAAATAATAATAACCTCAAATTAAAAAAGCACATAATAGCCTATAGCCTAAAAAACAAAATAGTTTACATTTAAATTGTTAAATTGTGTTTGGCAGTAATAAAAGCTCTCAGTCCCACTGTGTCCCAAACTAATTTTGATAAAAATCGGCTACAACTATAACAGTAACAAAACAAACACAGCACATAACACATGTAAATTTTTAACGCCGACGTCACCATGAAAGGCAGCGCAGTCGGCAGCGGCAGCGAAAAGAGAGCACGCGCACACCTCAAACGGTGTTATCACAACAACAACAGCAATCAGTGATGATAGTTTTTTGATATTTTTCGGCTTAGCATTGAAAATTATTAAGGGGAGGGAGGAAAACCGGAGCGTGTGTGCGCGAAGGTAACATCAAAATATAGTCACACACATACGCACCCAGTTATAATGCGCATACGCAGCGTTACGCCCTTTTTTTATACGTCTTATCAATGAATATACATAATAAAAAAACAGAATATTTGGTTTTGGCGCTTCCCTATTACTGGGAACATTACATACGTACATACATAGATCAAAGTGAAACAATTTAAATGTAATTAACATTTACAATCCAATTGCCCAAGTATGATTTTGAAATTATTTGAGGTTGCAAGAAATTTAAAGAAATTTAAAATGTCTAATATACTCTTTTAACCTTAAAGGTTACTTAACATAATAATGTATTTGCTTTTGAAAAGAAATTATGTTTTGGGGTGGCTTGTAGCGCGCTTTGATAGCTTTCTAGAGAGTAAAGACTCCGAAAAGAAGTTAGTTCGAGATTTGGTTGCCTTACGGGTCCATAGATTCGATTATGGATAATACTAATCGATCCTAAATCGCAGTACGTA